GTGTTTCTTCCAGAATTGTGAGTTCATGGCCCCTGGGTCAGAAGTTCTGGTGTAAGGGTGGGGCTTTATTTATTTAATAATATAGTGAAAATGCATTTTTTAAAAAATCTTCTATGCTTCTGGGCATATTCGAGGCAAACAGAGTAAAAGTTTTAATATGTAAAGGTATTTTTACCAGAATTTTGAACACCTGGACCATTAAGTCAAGTGTTCTGGTCCTGGCCAAGGCTCTATAAACTTGTATTCTGCTGAGTAAAGTTATTCCCCTATGCCATTCACCTTTTATAATTAATCACTATAAACAATGTATTTGAAAAGTCAACAGAATACGAGCATTATGCAAGAATATTTATTGTATAATACAAAAAGTACTTTCATAGTTTTAATGATCAGGTAGACTTGGAAATAATAGATGAATAAAAATGAGACAAAAATAACTTATCTTTTTAAATGTTCTTCAAAGGCCAAGAGAGGCCAATGTGAGAAGTAATAATATGGGGTTAAAAAATAGACATTTTGTTAAAAGTCTGCATGGTAATAGTGATAAATTGGGGACAGATAGATACTAGACCAATTATTTTGTTGATGCTAATCATACTATTTTTCTTGCTTTTGGGCAACAAAGCTTCATTTATCAGTTTATGGATCCTCATAATTGTTGTATTGTACTCAGGTGACCATTAAGGCCCTTGGGCCTCTTGTTCTTGAAAAGCAGCTGTCCATGATGTCAAAAGCCTGGACTTCGTGGGGAATGCACTGTATACAGTTTTGAGAAGTCGTAAGTTTTCATGTTATTGATTTCGGTAAAAAGGATGTATTCACTATTACAAAAGAATTGACCTATAGGAGAGAACAATTTCCCGGAAAAAGTTACATTTAAAAATCAATCTTTATTTGTTGTTTTCTACCGTATATATGTCTAATTTTTTCATATTTATATTTTACAACTTTATTATTTAAAATTTGTTATTTACAACTTTACAATAAACCTCCAAAGTTGGCCGAAACACCATTTTGTCCGTTAAAGCGTTGATTTTTGCATGAATTTTGGCCTAGAAGTCCTTCAGGGCAGGCCTGCCCCTAAATAAAATTGTGATATTTTAATAGGTTGGGATGTAAGGAATAATTTAATATAGGATATTTTTAGGGGCACCCCTGCCCTAGGGTCGAAATTCACAAAAAACCTACAAAAAATAAGGAAACCTGATTTTGACAATCTGCTTCAAATTTATACCAGTCAATCTTATAGTCAGAATAGCTCAGTTAATATATGCGCTGACTATTATGTCGTGGATATTATCTTTTTAAAGTCGGGGGTTCGAATCCACCTGGTGCCACACTTTTATAGTTTTAAATTTTCGCATTTTTCAAAGACTATTTTAAATTTTTATAGGCTTGTTTAATTTTCTTCAATTATCTATCCTTTATGCATTCCCATTCTTGATATACGAAACACAAGAGAGAGCTCAAATCGTAACAATCCAATGTACAGTTGTCAGTCAGGCGCAAAACTTTCTCCGAGGACAAGAATAACTCACTCTGTGTTACTCGAGACAGGTATTCTTGGCAGCATTGAGCTGCGATGAATTTCAATTGTATATATGCCTTAGAATTTAATCACATTGCTTCTATTCTGTCTGTGCTACTAGTGCTTGTCTGGGTTACATGTAGTATGTTACGTATTGCTTGAATTATTTGAGCTTAATATATTTAGAATAACATACATGTACTTTTGTTTTCAGTCAATGTTCTAAGATCTTAAGTTTTGAAACAGTTTGGCTACATATATATCAGTGACTGTACTCCCTTAGATTTCATTTAGGTCTATATAATTTGCACACATTAATGGCATGTTTTATTATATCCACGGAATAGTGTTGTGAAATAAATATCCTATTCATAAAGAATGGAATTCCAAAGAGAGTACACATTACCATTCTCGTACAATGAGAAGTGAAGAAAAATATCAATTATTACATTTGAAGATAATTTAACAAACTCAGAATATCAATGAAAGTGTTCCTATTAACTCGCTCACTGAAATAAAGATTTATGAAAAACAAATTGTTACATGTATTCAGCCTCAAGTCATGAACCGGAACGGAAATCGACAAGCCTTTTGTAGAGAAAAAAACAAGCCCGGCCCTATAGGTCAGATCCATATTTATATAGAAGTGAACCTTTCGTGATTTCAAATTTTTTAAAAGGAACTATTTAAAAATTTTCTAAAAGGAACATTTATAAACATATTCTCAAGAACAGCAGGGTTGTAAAAAGTGATATTCTCGGCTAGTGCAGATTCAAGTTTGTTCAAATCTGGGGCTGGGGTAGGGTTGGACCAATACAGGACAGCAGTTATTTTGTTCAAGTCATGGCTATCTAGGGTATGGTGAGACAAAATAAGGGATCAGTGTTTTACATAGGAATATATCTGTATAAATTAAATCTTTTTTTAAAATCCTCTCGATAACAGCAGGACCATGATTAGTATTATTAATACTAGTGGGTTGAGTAGACAAATTTCATCAAATGATAGCACGGAGTTGGGGTGAGGCTACAATAGGGTATCGGATTTTTACAAGTGAAATTTTAGGAATTAATTTTTACCAAAGTTAATGGAACACACACATTAAAACGCCAACATTCCTAACTTTTGTAAACCCCCTTATTTAAAAAAAAGGCCAGGGGGTCAGGATGAGGAGAAAAGTTACATTATGCATTTTTGTTTTTCATGGATTCAAATTAACTACTTTGATCGTTGATGTATGAATTAAACATTCTACATATAATTGGGGGAAGGGCTGAGTATGTGGATTGATCGTAAAGACCCAAGTCTCTCTGTGATATGCTACAGGTATCATAAATGCAGAAGCTTTCAAGACACTTTATAAGGGAAAAAAATATATATTCGAATGCACAAGATTATAGCAAATGTTGTGTAGATTTTCTATTATTGCTATACCTTTACAGTGTTAATATTTGGGACTTTTTAATTGCATGATGTTTGAAATAAACATTAAAATTTTCTGCAATGATTAACGACTGTGTATGAGAAGGGGAATATTATCTTGGTAGACAGAGATTTATTACACAGTATCAGTTGATGTTATACTCCAAATCTGTTGACTTTTCATGGCTAATATTTTTGTTTTATTGCTAAGATTGTGTGCCCCCTTCTTGTGCGTTCTCAGTTGTTTATTCCTTTAATATAAACTCATTTAATCGAGAGTTCTTACAGATGTTCATAAATCATTCAGCTTTATTCCGCCGTAGTCTTTGAAATATTCCAAACGTTGACTCAGTACCGGCTGAGGATCATGTAAACATTATCATCAATTTTCCTGTCATTAGTCAGACCTGTAAACTGGTAGCCCCGCCGGCGGACGGAGACGATACCAGGCAGTAGCCATCCGAAATGGTTCCGTCAACAAGGCCACCAATCAAATCGGGAGATGATTAATTAGTTGTTGAACAGTGCTTTAATTTAGCACGGGATAGCACTTATAGCATCTTTTATTACCCGTGTACAAGATTTCTCGTCAATTTAACGATAATGACGTTCTAATGGGATTTCGTGATAGAGATGTGCGTTTCCTGTATCATTTAAACTATTTTATATATATTATTACAAAGGAATATTGCGACCGAGTAAACTTTTTTACAATCTCAAAATTTGTCTTTCCTTTAATTAAACATTCCAATAAAATGAACTACTTTATTATGCTTTGTTGAATGAAAAGTAAAAACATCGAAAGGAACCATGAAATCATATTGTAGGGGTGCGGGGGTAAATGATGAGCCGAAACCGAGGACTGTATTTTGATTCGATTTTTAAAAAAAAAAACACAACTTGAGGATGTGTAGACATAGCGCATTTCATTTGAAAGGCATCTTCGCGCACTCTAGTAGTGATTTCTTAAATACATTTTTTTAACCAAAATTTTATCATTCAATCTTAGTTTATACATGTATAAATTCAAACTACACAATAGTGATATTTAAATGTTAATAATTCCCTTATATGATAAATATGAAAATCATCGAGTTTGTATGGAATATATAGTAAATATAGAGGTATCCTCCTAACGATGACAAACTTTCGCCAACGACCACCCTTAACCAGAAAAAAAAAAAAAAAACTTTTGAATAATTTTATTTGGATACGACTGCACTTCATTTCATTTAGATAGTCTTGAAAAAATGGTGAACATATATATTCAGTTTTTCTTGTCGTATTATCTTAAGATTTAGCAAGTCGCTTTAATTAATCCATTCAACATCAATGACTCCGTGGCGCAGTGGTATGATTGCTTAAATGTAATGTGGTGATTCCGAGTTCGAGCCCAACATTTTCCATTTGTGCCTTTTAATTTTGTTTTCTTTGTGTATATTTTCCACGTTTTTTTTAATTATCTTTTATAATAAAATTTCAGAAAGCTATAATATACGCATTACACTTAGAAAGTATCTGGGGGAAAAGACAGTCTTAAACTATTTCATTAAATTTTACGTATTCATAGCAACTTGTTTTATATTCATTGATTTTCTAAATCTTTTGTCTCGGAATTAGAGTACTGAACATGTAAAATGATTATCATATGACCTACTTGCAACTATGAAAATATAACACTCGTCCACAAATGATATTACATAGGTTGATCTTGAATTGAAAAAGTGTATCTATAAATAGGAACAGGTGATTTCCTTTTGTTTTCTTGAGTCGACCGTCTCATCGGTAAGGCAGCTATATAGCTCTTTATTATAAAGTAACAATGTTAGGAGGAATTTTAATCGGTATTGCAGATACAGTACATTTGTACAAAACGTAACATATTTTCATTGAATTTATTTAGTTGAACTTTTATTTCCATGCGATGAAAATTTCTACATTTCAGTGAGGCCACATAACAGTTTAGGTATTCCGGAAGAAGAGGAGTTTACCCACCAAACCTTACATTTTATAAACAAAAATCAATACAGCGCTAGACAATTTTTCACTCGTCATATATTTTTAGATTGGCTTGACAGGACTAAACACCTATATTTTGTTGTGTATTTCTGCTTGCTACACAGTACTCTCTATATGCCATGAACAACACTGTGCACATTCTTATGTGGACTAACTACACCTCGGTTTATAAAGGAATGTGAAAACGAAAGTAGAAGTTCCATTGCGTTTCTTCTTGTAAACAAGGGGTATCCTATGTAAACAAGAGGTATACACCTGTAAAAGATTCATTAAAATTATGTGGCTGTGGAATTTCTTCACTTTCTTTGCTTTTCATCTTTATGTATTCGGTGAAGACAGTATCGCGTTGCCTCCTCAAATAACAGAAATGGCCATTGTCGCCAAGACTTTTGCACGTTTTAGCGAAGTGACTGTCACAACAGTGGTAAAAAACACTAACAACAAGAGTCATGAGGTGATGTTTGCCGTTCAGGTTCCCATGTCGGGTTTTATTTCTGGATTTCAAATGACAACAAACAACAAAACCTTGCGAGGTCTTGTGCAAGAGAAGTCTGTAGCAGACAAATCCTATGACCAGGCCAAAACATCTGGCACTTCTGCTGGTAAAATCAGTCAGACTCCATCTATTCCTGGCCGAGAAATGGAGAATTTTGCCGTCTACATAAATGTAGCAGCAAATTCCACCGCTATGTTTCAGCTTACTTATCAAGAAGTAATAAAGAGGAAACTTGGACAATTTCAGCAAAAAATCCACGTGGAACCGATGCAGATTGTTCCCAATTTGTCGCTTTCTTATACAGTCGAGGAACCAGAAGGGATTCGGGCCTTAACTTACATCCTTCCAAATCAAACACAGCAAAGAGACAGCTCCTCGTCTGCAGTCGACATAAGAGCCACGCCAAAGAAGAGGGAGATAGAGTTCCGACCCACTATAGAACAACAGCGAACATTTAACAAGGGGAAGGGGATCATGGGAGACTTCGTTATATCGTATGATGTCAATCATCAAGATGATGGTGGTATTGTTTTGGTTCATAATGGTTATTTTGTTCATTATTTCTCACCAAGTGGGCTTGAAACGTTGCCCAAGAATATTATCTTTGTCATTGATATTAGTGGCTCAATGGGTGGATTCAAAATAGCAAAAGTCGGCGAAGTGATGCATATTATTTTAGGAAAACTTCGAAAGAAAGACTACTTTAACATTTTGTTGTTCGACGACAGAATAACGTTGTGGCAAAGTAAACCACAAAAAGCAACAGCCTCAAATATTGAAGTAGCGCGAGGGTACGCTAAGGAGACTCTTGTTGCCAGGGGCAGTACGAATATTAACTCAGCTTTACTTGACGCTGTTGATCTTTTGTTGAATTTACAAGATACCCAAGATAGTAGAGGGAAGATAATCGTGTTTTTAACCGACGGTCACCCGACTGCAGGAGAAACTAATCCCAAAAATATCCAACTAAACGTAAAGAGAAAGAACGAAGGTTTGGCGTCCATTTTTGCCTTAGGATTCGGTCATAATGTTGATATGTCTTTTCTAGAGGGGTTAGCGTATGAAAATGGGGGATTTGCTCGAAAGATCTATGAAGAACGTGACGCAGCTGAACAGCTGGAGACTTTTTACGAGGAGATCTCAACTCCCCTACTAGTGGATGTCCAAATGGAATATACACCCACAGTAGTTCTGGACGGTGACGTCACAGAAAGAAAGTTCCCACAATATTTTAATGGCTCTGAGCTTGTCGTGGCAGGAAAACTACGAAAGAACTCACCTGCCGAATGGCAGGCCAAGGTGATAGCAGAAGGCGAAAGCGGACAAAGTTCTGGGCGTCTAGAATTTATTACTACGCCAAAGAATCTGCTGAACATACCGGGGGTTACCACTGACTTTGCCGAGAGATACTGGGCATTTTCAAGAATTAAAGAACTTTTAAAAATGGAACTAGTGGCTGAAAACGAAATGCAGAAAAACCATTATCACGACCTGGCTTTAAATTTGTCCTTGTCGTACCAGTTTGTGACACCACTTACATCAATGGTAGTGTCCGAGTCCGTGCACGCACGTGAGGAAAGTTTGACAGAAAAGTCTCTAATGATGGATGCTTTTGCTTTAAGTCCCAATCGGAAGGTCCCTGGAGGTAAAGTGCATGTTTATGCACAGAGTGTTGATTCATCCGGACAGTTGACTTACCGTTTTGATGCCACAGTACTTTGTTTGATTTTTGTCGTGATTACAAGAAGTTTTGCTCTAAGATTTGTTTAACTCTGTTTAATTTTTAATCCATTTCGTATACGATCAAAAGAGATGATGACAAAAACATATTCGATTTTAACAGTTAAATTCATCTTTTACTGTGATAAAAAAATGGGTTGTTTTCGTTGTCTTACTGTCCTCATTGTCTGTGTAATAACTTACTGATGTAACCTCAAGCCAAAAAATGGAGAAATTTGAATTTTATTATTTTAACCTGTACTGCAATATCATATTTGGTATAACATTTTAATGGGGATTTTTTTAAGTGAATAGGAAGTATTAACAAATATACATTTTGATAGGGAAACCCAAACACTAACCTGATACAGTATGTATTGTTGACTTACTTTAAAAAGAGATCCTTTAAATTTAGATAAATACACATTATTTGCTGAATTTATAGAGACTTTATATTGGTTATCTTTACTGAGGTATAAATTCCCTAGAGATATAGTTTTATTTTCTTTAGTACTTCATAATACATGTACATTACAATGCAATCAGTTGTGAGTGGCTGTAAATTATTTAATTCCTTGTATATTATGTAAATTACCAATTACTGATTTTATAAAACGCTTTGATTGCTAGGTATCTTATAGATTCTGCTAATTTTATTCATCATATTGAACATTATTGGCCGAACATGCCTTCTTCAGAACTCATGAGAGTCGTATATTTATTTTTTCTAATTGAAATATCCAGATCAAGGAAGGTAATGCAATCCACTTCTCAAATGTCAATGTACTAGTAATAAAAACCATGACATGGGAATCGAGTATATCTACATCTACATGTAAACTTTAATGATGAATATAACATGCACACAAAGTGAAAATTTGACCTCAATCTTGATTGGATTTTCACTTTGTATACTTCTTAATTTTTCTTATTTTTGATACAGAAAACAGGTTGATATGTAATTAAGTGGCAAAATTGTTTGTATTTTTTATCGCTTTTTGTTACCAATAAACCTTCTTACAAGATGATTTACATTTCTGAGCGTCTGAGCAAATGTCAACAAATATTTCCATCTCGGAGAGTCATCAGCGAAATTTTATCGTCGTTCATATCATCGTAGACATCATTACTGGCCGTATCTATGTGAAAAGACTTTTATCCCTCAATTTTAATGTGGTAGGGAGGGAAATTTCTTGCTCTCTTGTCAACCTCGAGTAAAACTGACATCAATGCTGTCAGTAACATTTTAGTATTTTGAAAATTTAAATGAGCACGCTGTGCTACGTGTAAAGATACACATTTCTTTGTTGCGCAAGATGAATATACTGGCGAACTTGATTGATATAGTGGGGGATAAAACTACAAGTTGTCGTTTTAATGGGGTACTCGGTGGCTAATTAAATTGTATGTGGATCTTTGCAGGTGCGTTATCTCGCCCCAGAAGTGAGAGTTTTTACGGAGACGTAAACAGCATTGACACGAAGACTCACTTTACATCACGTTTCTGATAGTATTACGACCATAAAATCCACCATTTTGTGCAATTTTCGAACGATATATACTGCAAAGCAAAATGAAGAAAGTTATTTCATCACAAGATGTTTCACGATCCTCAACCCACAAAGTTGGGGGTTAGCGTAGGGTTTACGAAGGAATCATATTTTTATTCGGTCTTTTTGTCCGTCTGAGTAAATGATAGAAAACAATAACATCTCCGCCTAGATTGAGTGGTGTCATAACCTTGATCCAAGGTCATCTGGACAAATTCAAGGTCACCGGCGAAAAAAAAATTGGTAGATAATGGCGAAACATTGGAGACCCATTGAAAAGATAGCTGATGACCTGAGGTGGTAAGATGAGCCTGATTCAAGGTCAGTCATGCAAGGTCACTGGGTAAAAAAAAAGAACAAAGAGCTGCAAGTATTGTGAAACACTTATATTATCCTATGAATTTGAATCAAGATTATAGCGATCTCCTTAAGATATACATATACCTTATAATGGGTATTTTTACGTGGTATAGTAAACTATATCTCTAGTCGATAATCCCAACTTAAAAAAAAAGCTTCCATAATTTAAGAGGGTTTTTATTTTAAGCATGCATGTGCTATTGTTTATTTTTGGGGTACGTCTGAAAGGTTGATTTTAAACCAAATACACTATCGGTATAAATGAAAGTCATTTTAAACATTTCTGCAAAATCTATCGAAAATGCCCGATATAATTCATTTTTGATTACAGATGATTTTGTTGTAACTGTGATTTGGTGTTACGTTCTAAATTAATTGTTGTGTGGTCTAAGTTCCAGTAAAAATGGGACCGGAAGTCAGAGAACGCATCTGGCTGATGGTGGCTCCACCTGTTGCCGAGATTCTATAATCTCGGGCAAGGTCTCGAAATGGCATGTGTTGGTATAGATAGTGTTTAGAAGGTTATAATTTTCTGTGTGGTGCATACCTATTACAATACGGTATCAACCTTTTGCTGGTTCGATATCTTAGCATGATTACCCAATCACGGCTGGATAAGTATTCCCGTGAGAGCCTCACTTTCTAATGAATATAAATAATGGGTATTAATTTACTACCTTTTGTAAACTTCTCTGAGAAATATATTCCAATACGAGCGCATGTATAATTTGTGCTCACATTGAATATACTCGCTTCCTTACAATATGTTTCAAATATTTATTGCATATTAATGTTCATATTTTATTTTATTAATAGTTTGTTTTTCTTGAATTGTAAAGGGGGGTTGATGTTTTGTCATATATATATTCATTTCTCATATAATTTTTGTATGAACGGAGAATTTATTGTTCTGTTTATGTTCAACATAGTTATTAATTAAACTTTATTGGTATTAGTATGTCTGTATATTTGAAGAAAAAATTTAATTACTCGGGTATGTATTGGGGTTTAAACATCAGCAATTATCGAAATTTACAATTAAAATCGATTAGAAACAAGATATTTCACAAAAGAATCAAAAACTTGCGATTTTTAAGCTCATTGAAGAGGGTTCGATATGGAATCAATCTGTCGATCGCCCCTCCAAAACCGTCGGCTCACTCGCTATCTTGATTGCAGATGGGGGTATAAAAACCGGAACAATTCTGGGAGTAGACATTTAACAGAACACTAATTTTGTTTTTATAGTTGCTAAAACTAAATCTTTATCAAAGCATTTAAGATAACATTTCACAGATATTTGAGCAATATGTAAACAAGCTCCTTAATGACTGTTTTAATTGCAGAATCTGTTACAACCCAACACGTGGGGCGAGCGGGATGACCGCTCCGTCGAAATAACAAACAGACCGGATCCAATAGGACAGATTCCGGAGACCGATAAAAATCACTGATAAATTTTAAACGATCATTATGATATCCAACCCACAACCAAATAGCAATTACATTTTTATGACTAAGAATCATGTCAAAGCGGTTTTAATGTGCGTATACACTGCAGAAAGTTTCTGCATTGCGAATAATTCCATTGCCGTTATATGAAATGCATGGCTTTCACAGACGGTTTTCTGTTGTTTTCTTTAATATCCGTATCACTTCAATCATAAAAAAAAAAATTAAGTTAAACCTTCATAAATGGGTAAAGTAATTTTTTTTTATATTATTGCTAATGTTGCTATAACTTAGACACAGTAAATCGAATAATTGGATCGTAAATGAAGCCCCAATAATTAAGACTTTTGAATTAAAAAAAAAACGGGAAGCATTAACATGATTTAAAAATTATTTTTGATTTAACAAAAAGCTTAATAGAAGAGCTCTCTTTCTAGGTCTCTAGAAAAATAAGAGGAAGAAAAGACTTCATATAGATTTCTGCAAACATTTGTTTGTCGGAAAAGACAATTTTTCCCAATAGTAAATTCTTTTTGAAAGTACATGTGTAATGTAGTAAATTATTTTCTATGAATAAAGAACCTGCTTACATATGTATTAACTTAAAATGTTAAGAGTTACACAGCGTCAATTCAAATGGTTAATGACCTTTTTTCTTGGTCCTTTTTACAAAATTATCATTTATTCTTAATTGATTTTGTTTTCTTTTACGAAGATTACTTAATGTTAAAATTCATTCCCCCGAATTCTTTGGAGGAATACTCTAGGAAAACATTTTTCTAGTCTGGGTTTCATCTATTTCATTTAAACAATATTTTACTTCATATAGTGGAAATGCATTAATTCTTTGAAATCTTTTCTGTTCCTGGGTAGTTAGCAGACAAACTAAGTGCATTGGTATGTTATTCTTCCAAAATTGTTAAATTCATGGCCCCTGGGTGAATGATTCTGGTCAGTATAGACGGGGTTCTATTGATCATTTAGTGAAAATACTTAGTTTAATTAAAATCTTTTTTTTCTCTCCCTGTCTATTTAGCAAACAAACTAAGTGTATGGGTATGATGAGCAAGGGTGTCTCTTCCAAAATTGTGAAATTCATGACCCCTGGGTCAGGGGTTCTGGTGTTCTGGCGGGCTCAACTGATCATGGAGTGAAAAGGAATTAATTCTTTGAAAATAATTTTCTCTGCTCCTGAGTATTTAGCAAAAAAGAATGGTTTTGATGAACAGGGGTGCCTCTTGCAAAATTTATGGCCCCCCGGGTAAGGAGTGCTGGTGTTAGGGCGAGGTTCTAGCATGATTTGTTACTGAGTACCAACCACACTACCCGATTGCCCTTTTGCTTGTTTTTGGCAACATATCTTCACCTATCATTTTATTTTGTTTTATTGTATGATTGTAAAACTGCTTGCCATTCTTTGGATCCTGCAGAGGTTGTATCATATTCAGGTGACCATTAAGGCCCCTGGGCTTATTGTTTCATTTCAAGAAATTTCAAAGAGTTATTTTGCTTTACATGTTACATACAAAACATTGAGTTACTTTTTCACTTTCATCCGGAGAATTTGCCGAAACGGCTATAAATTCTTTATCGATGTGAACATTTTTTCCCCTGATTCTATGGAGTGTTTAGAACAGATATTATCAAGCAATCCAAATAAATTCATTGTTACATAATCTTCCAGGGAGGTGTGCATTCTCTTTGATGTCTTTCCAGCGATCTGATTGTCTAAGTTTTCGTGCTTTACCTATGCTATAATATTATCGTTATACATACAAATCAGTTGCTCTCTATTTGTGATGCATTCTTGTCTTGGAATTAAGATAAGAATCGTTACGACGACTATAAGATTATTTAGAAAGGGGAGGGTTATAAATTTTTATTCAATGGTTTTTTTCTTTTCTTTGTTTCTTAGTATATTGAAAAGGAAAAAGAATATCACTGCTTATAAATGTGAGTGCATTTCAATCGTCAAATTTAGAACCCGGAAGCTTAACAACAAAAATGCTGAATATAATTTCGAATCTTTTGACTATATCACAAAAATGTTAGTTTTTACTCTCTAAAAGATATATTTGTATTTTGTCAGTTATGATAATTGTTATGTATTTTATGTATCTGAATAATCATTCTTCACTGCTGATGACGGACGATTTCCAGTCCGCGTTCTTAACTTCTGAGAAGATCCCGAAAATCCCAGAGCCATATGAAGAGGTTGTTGACGTACAAAGACAAGGGCCCGTCTCCCTAATGTATTCATTTCACTTGTGATTGCGGCAATATAAATAATCCGTCAGTAATGGATCTTAATGACAGGAGGAGGCTGATCTGATCGGGTTCGGTAGAATGTACATTACAGCCCGTGTTTACTCTATCCTGTGACATATGGACTCCGAGCTGTTTGATAAATAACAATATAAAGAAAATACTTTTATTGCTTGTTTCAGAGGCTGGAATTGAAAAGAATGTGTTTACATTTGCAAGGTTTCAAAAATCTTACTGCAGTGAAAACTGTGTGAACGACTGCTGTTCTATGTAAGATTTAGTCCAATATTTCAGTTCTCCCCTCTTTTTGTCTTTGATTACGAATGTAAGGATAAACCAACAGTTCGATATTTCGTAACTGTTTATATCTTTTCTTGTCATTGTCACGTTTTTAAAGGTGTTCATGTTGATTATGCTCATTCTCTTCTCATCTGGTTCAGATCTCTGTTTTAAACTGAGGAATTAGTGCGTCTTATATTGTAAAGATGTAAAACCACGTAGATGAGTCAGGGAAGAGTGGTTTTCTATATGTTTGTACAGTATATTTTAAATTTGCACTAATATTAGCACGATGAAATTTCATTTGTTAGTTCTTCGATCGGCCAAGGTTTTTGCGGTACTTATAAGATAATTTTTTATTATTTTTTTTCTCCATTTTCTCTCTCTCCGTTTCTACATGTTCATCATTCTGTGTCCAGCGTACATGTTCATTCTTACATATTGATTTTTAGAATTTTTTCTCACATTTTCTCCATTTTTTTCTTTTTAAAATGTAATTTCCTTCCTTTAAAGTTGTTTTAGCCTGCATTTTTATTCCTCAGAATAAACTATTTCAAGAATATAGCTGGGTTCATATTTCATAATTGGGAGGAAATTAAATAAATCGATGAACCACGGAAACTAATTCTTTTATGAAATAATTTTTCATTTAATACTTTTAAATATGATTTGTGATATTTTGCAAACCTTTTAGGTGTCCGATCCTCAGGTTCTAAAATTCAGCAGTTAAGTAATTGAAAAAGCTCACAAAAATGTATCTGAATTCACAAAGTAATGTGTATTTACACTGTACCTATGGTATTTATTCAAATTTCATAGTATTGTTAATCACATTATTTAGGGAAAATAATCAAATCTCAAATATATTTTCAGGTAATGAATAAAAGCACAAGCTATGCATTTTTATATTAAAATTCATCAGCAAATATACATGTATTTTAGGATTAAAAAAACTATAGGTATCCAGGCAATCAGAGAAAATTGCATGTTTGTATACTTATACTACTGTTTAAAAATACAGAGTGTACATCATTGCAAGACATCACAGATCACTTTTTAATTCATATCGTGCTAATAAACTTTGGTATCAAAGGCGAAATTTCAGGAAATTCGATTTCTTTAAAAATGCATTTATTTTTGTACCTTTATGGGGAACAAATGTTAACTTTTTACAAGACCATTTCTAAGACATCAAAAACCTGTAATTATATTGAGATGCATGAAATAAAAATAGTTGGACGAAAAGATTTCAATTTCAAGCTTCATTTTAAGACTTTTTAAATTTAATGATAATTAAACAATAATTTTAGGATTTATCGTTCCTGACTGAGGAGTGGGAAGTCTTAAATTTATTTGGGGGGGGGGGGTGGTATTTTCAAATACTAAACAAAGGAGGGGCCTCTTGTTAAAATTGACTTAATTTTATTTTATTTTGAACTCCATTGATGTTTCACTGGTTTTGATGACAGGCATTTAGAATTTTCTTTTAAACTTATTTAGAATTTCTTTTATTCTCAGATAATTATGTTTACGAAACATGATATGAATTTATTTGTCAGTATTTGCTGAAAAATAATTCTTAATTAGAGTTAGGGTTGTAAAAATTTGGACATTTATATTATAATTACTCGTAATTCCTGAAGATTTCATTTTATTGCTTGATGCATTACAGGCAGGAACTCGGTTTATTGTTGTAAAATAATGAACGTAGGGAGAAAATTCAAAGTCTATTGGAAATCAAGGCGATAAGCAGATAGGCAATTTCATATTTTCCTAATAAAAATTATGATGTCTATCATAAAATAAAAATTATAATGTCTATGATATAATAAGAATTACAATGTCTATCATATACATAATATAAAAATTATAATATCTATAGGAAATCTTATTTGAATTATGTATCACCCAAGTTTCGTCTTATTCTGACTCTTAAAAAAATGTAATCACACTTTAAAATGGCATGTAGTGATAGGAAGTAGCGTATACATGTAATACAATTTGTTATTTATTTCAGCGTTAACGTTTAACTTGAATGATTTATTAGTAATATTTACCGAAGAAGAATTCTTCTTTCTAAAAAATATAGTATGTTACAAGTCTATACTGTATTTATCCTGATTCGGACATTTTTTAAAAATTATATTTAGCTCTATATTGCCATCTCCTAGGTGTTTAGTGCAGATAAAATGTATCTCTAAAAAAATGTTTTATAAAAAAAAACTACTGATTAAAGCTGAAATGCCTAATTTTTGTTGAAATGCTAACAAGACTCCTAAGATATCATACCTTTAAAAAAGTTGTTTTTACCAAAAAATAAAGTTCATATTTCTGTTGTGATATAATTATAATTTTCCTGATACACTTTTGGCCAATAGGTCCGTAATTGCTGTGTATTTTTATGATGTTCTTTGGCGTTCGTTGTGTGGCGGACTGGAAATGAGGCATGCTATGGGAGGTGAACGTAACGATAAGTACTGTATCTACAGCAGCGATAATCCGCGTACCTCTTCATGTAGTTCTTTATCGCCGGGACTGCTAAAGTAACGAAAGTGACATCTTTATCGGCGCTCAGAGACATGTTAAAATTTTATCCCACACGTGCGCCATTTCCACAGTAGTGCTCACGACTGAAATACAACGAAAAGTTGTTGAATGAATGATACATTGTTTAATATTGCTCAAAAATTGATTTATTGCACACTTGCAAAAAGATTTAATTTTTTTTCTTTGTTATCTATTTTGGTGAAACAAGACGGTTCATTACTCAATGATTTACTTGCACTTTGATCGTCTTCCCACATTTCTAGGGTTTTTACCGAAAGTTATTCATTAACCCTGGTGTTCATTCATTTAAACAATGATAAAATCATCAATAAAATCAATTAAAAACATAAACCAGCATGAAACATTTTATGCTATTTGGTTACAGATGCACATATTTCAAATCTGGATGACACTTTTTATAAAATTTTCAATGAATAAGTCGGTTTGGGTGGTTTTTCTTATCTACTTCCATACCCAAATTTCATTGGTCGAAATAAGCAACACTTGTCGCATTAACACACGCTAACAACCAATCAGAACACAGATTTTATCTCGTTCTTTTGACGAGATAAACAGCATCCCAACTTTCCATTTTCACAGAAAACCTAAAATCTAAATATTGAAACAGGATTTCTGCAGCATTTGACCCCATGTTAGCGATATATTAAAATAAACCAACGGACTTGTTACTTTTTGTCGGAATTATATTCTGATGCCGTGTGCAACATTTTACACTAAGTGGATTTCTTTGGCATGACTATGTTCTCCACAAGTTGTGGCGCTTTTTTGTCCCCTTACCCAGGGGCAATATGGGCGTTCCCCCATCTTAACAGCTCTTTGGCTGCGGTATCAAGAAAGAATCCATCATTTCGAATATCGGACATATTAGATGCCCAAAAACCCCCTCTACCTTTTCCTGTGTACAAAGTTCCTGACACTTCGGTCGGGGGTTCGGGGTGTCGTACCCAGTCCGCACTTGGTCCCCTGCAGGCATTCTGTACCTCTAAAAGCGTCCACAGCTTCGTGTCGGATTCCTTGTCGTCCAGAAATGTGGAACAAAGACCTCCTAAACAACTTAAGTTTGGAATTAATACGATCTTGTCAGAGGACTTCGGAAAGAAATCTGAAAAAGGTAAACCAATCATCCTCAGATACTTTAGTATCGAGTTGAATAAACGATTAGCTTCTTAATCTTTCTTGCCTCAATGAAAGGATTTTCTTTTCACTTTCTGGATGATTTAAGTTTCCAATAAAATGTTAATTTTTGTAGAGGACAAGGCCCCTACTCGCTACCCTGGAGGTGGACCCTGTGGTTGTGAGAGTCAGAGTATTTCCTTCTACCACAGAGGGGGGATGTTCCCGTCCCAGGGGATTCTATCGACCCTGCCCACCCCTTCCTTCTCAATGACCTCCGCCAGTGGCATTGATTCACTACCAGGTAGGTCCTGTTACAGGGGTGGAGACTGTATGACTTTTTAGCTACATTTAATTCTTTATTTTATTCTTTTTATGATTACATAGCATTTCTTGATCCATTATTTACATCATATCCATTGGCTAAATTAATTCATACAGGTCAAATCCATCAATAGATTATATACAAATCTATATGAGAGTTATCTGGTAACATCGTGAACAAGTTGTCTAGAGTGAAAATTAATCGACACTGATCAGAATATTTTTTCAGTGCTCATTAGTGCATTATTCATCAATATATAAAGCAAATCTCAAATAGATATATACTCAAATAAACAGAATACGGGATTTTATGTTATATGTATTTATTGAATTACAATTATTTGAAAAGCAAAGACATGTACATACTGGTAACTAAATTAAATATTTTTAAGAAGATTGTAAAAATTAACCATTTTATTTTTTGGTAATAATCCTTTTTAAAATTCAAAAGTATTCTTGAAGTAACTGCCCTAAAAATAATTTTTCAAGAAATTTTGCATTCTTAATTCCTATAAAGAGTGATAGTAACAAGGAATAATTTTTTTTTATCTTTTAAAAGGCAGATTTAGGTATTTGTTTATAAATCTTGGCGTCACTTTGGATTTCTGATAATACGGAAATAATGAGACGACGACACATTATCTGTTTATTTATAAATCTGTTATCCCGGGTTAAAATCAATCAGTTTCTTTTAGTATCAAAATGAACAGATTAAAATCACTCACTTTATTTAAATAGCAAATCAAAGAGACCAACATAAATAAATAAATAAAATATCTTTATCATTCTAAAATAGTCAATCAATTAGAAAAAAAAGAGAGGAAAGAACATTTTTATAGCATATACACGCAACAAATTTTTTTTCCTCAGTTTCATAAATTTAGAGAATAGTTAAATTGGTGTATAAATTTGTTTTTAGTTGAATTCTGATATATCTATATTAATATGTATATTAAAGAAATTATTTTGATTTTATACCATTGATTTCTCAAAGGACTCAAGAAAAATAAAAAGAAAGGCCTTTTATTTTCGCTTTTTTTTTTTTTTTTTTTTTTTTTTTTTTTTATCAATAATGAAGTTACAAAAGATATAAAATATAAATATTATTTTTTGTTCAAAATATATGTTTTTGGCGAACAAAGAAATATGATAAGTTGAAAAAAAAAACTGCTTCAAGAAAAATAAACTTCATATACCTTTCATACACACCCCCTCCCTAAATTTTTATAAACAGTATCGAAAAGAAAATTAAACGTTTGAAAATTGTATTCCTTAAATATGAAAATAAATTACGTTTAACAAAAAAGATATGATTTATTTTGAAGCATTGTCAATTTAAGACTACAGTATCCCATTTCATATTTCTTGCTTTTTTCACGTTTATTTTTACTTAAGTTATTTATTTTTCATTTATATTTAATATAATTCATGTCAAAGTGTATAATCTGTAACTCCATACGGATCTTGTATTCATAAATTCCTTATTTCTTACCTCTATACTTCAAACTTTTTTTAATCACTAAAAATAATATTTATCCTTCGCCTTTCCTCATTTTTTTAATACAAAATTCAAGATCAACACATTTTATGCAAACACCTATATTTTATAGATTTGTGATTTTTCATTCGATATGATTTAATGTTACTAAATTTAAATATATTTCAATGTTTTGTCACCGCGTCGTGAACGTTTCTCAAAATTTCTCCATTTCTCACACGGTCCATATAGTGCACCGCCCATTTCTTTTTTTTTTTTTTAAGTCTTCATTACACTTGACAGTTTGCTAGCAGTTGTTCGATGAGTAGTATAATCAGAGTTTTCAAATTCTTTATGACCTAACTCTCTTTCACAATTTCCGCAACAGTGATCTGCACATCACTATCCAAAGTAAAAGTTTTATCTGATATGTGTTTATTATTTTATATTTGATAAACTTCAGTTGTTGTTACTAAACAAATCACCGGCTTCTTCCACCTCCCTTGCAGAGCTGTCGTTTGTTCCTCGCTCAGACAACCTCACAATGGGCTCGCGTCAAGATTTTTGACATAAAGTAGTAAACATTATATTTCAAAGATTTTTTTTCAATTTAAACTAATACTTCTTAATCTACTTTGTAAATATCTACCTTAAAAGACAAACATTGGAGCAAGTATTTAATTTCATTGAATTGATACAGACGCACTATTTCTTGTGCTCATCACTGTGATATGCGCGCAAACGACAGAGGTGAACGTATGATCGAGCTGATGGTAGAGAGTGAGGTTTCATCTCTCGGTTTTTACTAATCATCTTCCATGCCAAAATCCGGTGTCCCTTATAAATGTACTGGTATTCAGACAAGATCATAAATATTTATGACGGTCAATTGATGTCAATTCCCGTTTACTTAAACCGCCTATTTTAATCTTATTCATTGAACAATTGCTAACAGCACTTTTTACAAATATTATTGATATGCTAAATAGAATATCAATAAGTTCCGATTGAAAACTGTTGAATACGAATTAACTTGAAATTCTTAAAGATATATTTTGTGCAAAATTACTACAAAACACGAAATTTATAGCTTCTTGACTTTTAAGTTCACAATTATATAACATAAAAGGAAAATAAAAATATACCGTACATCCGGGGGTCATCATAATAACAAATATATATGCAATTTTATTTAAAAAAAAAAAACAAACATTTTGTCTGATTGGTGTAGACAGTCATGTGACAGAGCAAATAAAATACCCCCTTGAGAGCTTCTCGCTTTTTCTTGTATAATAAGATCGGTGCATTATGTTCGGAAGACCCAAGAAAATTCATATTCATAATTTGATTTTTGGTGGATGAATAAATTTTTACATCTCACACTATCATGCAATGCATGTATAAATTATATTGTTATTACGACGCTATGTCTAAGGAACCGGATATGAACTGACTGCTTCACAGTCCATCACAGTCCAATGATGAAAAAAAATGTACATCCTACATTGATAATAGTTTAAACAAAATTGTGTGTGAATTAAGAAATACCAGTGTAATATACAAATAACAAAATGTTATAGTATTATATAAAAGCAGTGAAACCTGTCTAATCCGACATTCCCTGGGAGACAACCGGAATAGACAGGGTATCGGATTATACAGTAAAATGAACATGGAAAATAACAAAATTGGAACGAAAATAACGGTAGGAATTCACAGTGAAACGGATTGAACAGATGTCAATTTAGACAGTTTTCACTGCACAAATTCAAATTTGTTTTAGGACCTTATTCAATCCTGAATGATGACGTCAGTTTGGGACACCATTGTAAGAGGAAGCGGTCTTGGTCACGTGCCGTGTTCTCCAATCTTCAGAGGAAGGGACTCGAGAAAAGATTCGAGGTTCAGAAATACGTCACCAAACCAGACAGACGACAGCTTGCCGCCATGTTGGGTCTCACAGATGCACAGGTAGAGCTACAAGCTCCCGCTTAAAAGAACAATTAATGACAGAAAAATATGCCAATTGTAAAAAAAAAAAGGAAAAGAACACACTTCTTTATTAGAATTGAATTTATGTTATCGAATACCATTTTCTTTTCTCTTTTTAGACCCTTCTTTACTTAACTCTCAAATAAGCGTTTGGTAGGATTTCTGATTTTCTCTTTTTGTATATTCCTATTTTTTATGATAAGAACACAAAAGTCGAACTTTGGGAGGAAAGCTTTGTGTAAATTTTCTGTACAAAACTTGATGAGGCATAGAGGGTGCACTAAGTGTAAAGATTCACGGTATATAATCGGATTCCGTGTTTACTTTTTTATTGTAGGCACATGCAACATGCCTTTCAATTGATAAATGTCTGAATCTAATGTAATAGTCAGCGCGAAATCTCCCAGAATTAAGACATGATAGATACTGTTTCATTAATCTTACCAAATGCACTTCAAGTGTCATTTATATTAAGATTTTACTTGATTCCCATAGCTATTTTTTCCTATCTAAACGAGGAAAAAACTGAATCCCAAATAACTGAAATGAATATTTTGAAATTAATTTCTTTTCAGTTTTGTCGATAATTACTGTCTTTGTCAAGTATTGGGCCTAATCGTTTGTATTTATATAATTATAAAGGTGAAAGTTTGGTTTCAAAATAGAAGAATGAAATGGCGACATGCTCAGCAAACAAAGGAGAAATCGAATTCTGAAGGCACCAGTTCGGAACCTCTCCCAGAAGAACCACTGGTTAATGATGTTGATACTACGGATAGTGATGACGTCAATGATGACATCATCGAAGAGAGACTTGAAGATTGTGATGACAAAGATTCCTAGGGAATCTGCCTATTTTTTGTAATTTCTTAGACTATAATAAAATATTGTTGTTTGTTGTTAGTGCAAGTGTGTTTCTTATTTGTTTGTACTGATCAAGGATTGACTCACACATGAATTAAGGTAGGAATATTTCTTTTCCTATATACATAATGGAACACTGCGATTTCTAGGAATCAAATTTAAAGAAAATTGAACATTTTACTAACTAAATGAAGATTAACTTACAATAGATAATAACGTAACATATCAGTAAATTATTTTTTAAGGGGAGGGGTGGATAACTATTCTGATTATTAAATATATTCCAGTATATGTACATGTAGGACTCGGCCAAACTCTTGCAAAAGTCCGATGGCTTGGGGTCGAAACGGACTCCAAAGTCCGATGGTCACGCCAAAATCCGATGGCCCGTTTCCTATGAGACGCGCTGCGCTAAGTGCGATGGTGCAGAAAAAAAATTCAACGTTTATGACGTCACAATTATCAAACGTCATTTAACGGGAATGAAAGCTTTTGATTGTGATGTCATAATAGAACAATGCATAAACACTATACTTCGTGACGTATTTCATGTAATAAAACTCAACAAAATAAGATGTAAACATCAAACAAAAATGCATAAATATTGCATTAGAATGGGAATAACTATCTTCTCATTTGTCTTGGCGTGGCGCGGCATCTCAATATAAGGGGCAGTAGTAATATGACGTTATACAGGCCCGTAGGAAGCAATTTCAGTTTGGGGGGGTACAGCCATACATTTTTCAGTTGACGTTGAGGGGGCTCTACCAAAAATTTCCTGACAAGCAAAAAAAAAAAAAAAACATTAACTACCAAAATTCCTTAAAAAGCTAAAAAAAAAAAAAAAAGAAAAAAAAAGGTCATCAGACTTTTTTATTGAGGGGGCACAAGCACACATTATCTATGTTTACTATAGTAATCTATATATCGGCAAAATTATTGGGGGGGGGGGGCACGGCCCCCCCGTGCCCCCCCCCCGGTTCCTACGGCCATGTTATAAACGTTGATTGGTTTTTTCCCACACCATCGGACTTAAGTGTGTCAAACCATCAAGGTTTGGCGCAGACCGTCGGACTTGGAGTCCCATCGCACTTTGGAGTCCAACATATACATTATCAAATAAAAGAAGAATTCATCGGGAGGAAGGACTTATATAAGAATAACTTTGATCGTTCGTCTGTTTGTCCGTTTGGGGCTGTTTCTTAGTAACGGAGAAACAGAAGTATATCTATACAAATCGTCACACTGAATGAAGGTCATTTGATAAGGGCTAATGGCACAGTAATCGGGAGTGTAAAATCGTCAAAACTTTATAGTGAAAAAAAACCCTCATTCTAAAATATACAAAAGAAGCTAAAACCGAACAGTTTGTCATGGTCTAAAATAAACGGCGGGCATTAGAGAAAAGTCAAGGTCAGAGGGAAGCGCTGAATATTGCACTGTATAACCTATACTTGGTAAAATGGTACCATGTCAAAGTCATAGGGAACATAAAATCTCATGTCTGAAAGAAAGGTTCCTTATAACTTGATAATGTGATGAACCAAGGGTTTGAAATGTCAAGTGTGTGTTTGACCCTTAAATCAGTAATGGAAAAGTAGTCCATGTTGCTTATGACAGAAGGATCATGACTTTAGATAAAGGTCATTTACCGTATAATAGTTTTATGATACAGTTCTTACATGCAATATTTCAAACATGCATTGCTTTTTATTGGGCCATCTTTAAAAATTTGTTTGGTTGCCCTCTCCCGACCGACTGGATAAAAATGGCCAGACTCAGAACTTTTTTAACCTCCGAGAAACAATTATTTTTTATGCATTCCAGAAAATATATTTTGATTGATTGATTGATTGTATGTTGTTTTACGTCCCATTCGAGAATTTTTCACTCATATAGAGACGTCACCATATACCGATAAGGGGCTTCAAATTTTGACCTTTACTCGGCACTTAGGGCCATTGAGCAGTGAGGGATCTTTATCGTGCCAACGCCTGCCGTGACACGGGGCCTCGGTTTTTAAGGTCTCATCCGAAGAACCCGCAACTTTCACTTCAAAGTGCCGAGCGCATGGCGAAGGAACAGTTGCTACCCATTTTTTATCTACTTAGGCCAGTCGCGGCCGAAATTCGAACTCCCGACCTCCCGATCAAAATATATTTTGAAAATTCAGCATTGATATTGATATTTTCTGAGAAAAAAGAATTTTCCTCCTACCTACCGACCCATTTTTTTCATCCTGAGTCGGGAGAGGGTAAACAAACATTATTTTAAAGTTGGCCTTGCATAACTTCGTGATATTTTTCCTTTTTGCACAGCTCTAGTAAATTTAATATGCAGAATAAAGAATATCCGTCTCGAATATGATACTAGTACATATAATGACGACTAAAAATCCAACAAATGATTTTTTTATGACTAGGTGATATCTTCCTAAAATTTAAAGTTTTTCAGGAAAACAATACTCTCCTTCATGTCCTCTATTATGTTTATATTACAGATAATTTACTCTCCTTTTATGTAATAATAGTGCAGGGTCTTGTGTTCATATTACAGGTAATTTAGTCACCTTTTATGTAATAATAGTGCAGGGTCTTGTGTTGTGTTCATATTACAGGTAATTTAGTCACCTTTTATGTAATAATAGTGCAGGGTCTTGTGTTGTGTTCATATTACAGGTAATTTAGTCAATTTATGTAATAATAGTGCAGGGTCTTGTGTTGTGTTCATATTACAGGTAATTTAGTCACCTTTTATGTAATAATAGTGCAGGGTCTTGTGTTGTGTTCATATTACAGGTAATTTAGTCACCTTTTATGTAATAATAGTGCAGGGTCTTGTGTTCATATTACAGGTAATTTAGTCACCTTTTATGTAATAATAGTACAGGGTCTTGTGTTGTGTTCATATTACAGGTAATTTAGTCACCTTTTATGTAATAATAGTGCAGGGTCTTGTGTTCATATTACAGGTAATTTAGTCACCTTTTATGTAATAATAGTGCAGGGTCTTGTGTTGTGTTCATATTACAGGTAATTTAGTCACCTTTTATGTAATAATAGTGCAGGGTCTTGTGTTCTGTTCATATTACAGGTAAATTAATCTCCTTTATGTAATAATAGTGCAGGGTCTTGTGTTGTGTTCATATTACAGGTAATTTAGTCACCTTTTATGTAATAATAGTGCAGGGTCTTGTGTTCATATTACAGGTAATTTAGTCACCTTTTATGTAATAATAGTGCAGGGTCTTGTGTTGTGTTCATATTACAGGTAATTTAGTCACCTTTTATGTAATAATAGTGCAGGGTCTTGTGTTGTGTTCATATTACAGGTAATTTAGTCACCTTTTATGTAATAATAGTGCAGGGTCTTGTGTTCATATTACAGGTAATTTAGTCACCTTTTATGTAATAATAGTGCAGGGTCTTGTGTTCATATTACAGGTAATTTAGTCACCTTTTATGTAATAATAGTGCAGGGTCTTGTGTTGTGTTCATATTACAGGTAATTTAGTCACCTTTTATGTAATAATAGTGCAGGGTCTTGTGTTGTGTTCATATTACAGGTAATTTAGTCAATTTATGTAATAATAGTGCAGGGTCTTGTGTTGTGTTCATATTACAGGTAAATCACTCTCCTTTATGTAATAATAGTGCAGCTCCTGTGTTTGTGTTCATATTACAGGTAAGTTACTCTCCATTATGTAATGTTAGTGCAGGGTCGTATTACAGGTTAACTTCCACTTCCACCAAAATCGGTAATTTACTCTTTTTCTTGGATTTGCACTGTCTTTCCAATCTCGTTCCACAAGACATTCGGCTCTCTCCGTAAACTCCGACCAGCAGCAGAGTCGGAGTTTACGGAGAAAGCCGAGTTTCGCATGATAGGACTAATTTTAGTAAAATATACTGTTTAAGGTTGTCGCTAAAGACGGCCAAGCTTTTTGAAAAAAAAAAAAACTCTACTTCTTTTCATGATTTTATCAAAAGTAAATTTATACCATGATTACTTAACTAAGCGGAACTCTTTCGCGGTGGAGGTAGGAAACGTCTGTTGGCTGGGGACTACAACTCGAGATTTTTTAAGGTATTCAATGTATAATGAAGGGATTGTGAACAATTTTGAATCATCTCAGACTAGTTAAAAATGCATTGCTAGATAACGATGAAAGTGAGATGAACCAAATTCACATGACAGATAACATGTAAGAAGCCAGTCATTTTGCACCTTAAAAGTTTTTGAAGAGTTGTCTGCTCTTGATGAAAAGAATAAAATTTGAATTTTTTCAAAATATCTATGGTGGATTATTCATTTTATTTCATATTATAATAAAGAGAGAGTTTATGCATATATTCACCAAGAGATTTGTATGAAATTCAAATTAATTTTTACAATATCTTAATAACACATGTGCTGGCCATAGATTTCAATGTCAACTTCAAGGTACAATTAATTGTACAATAATCAAAATTTGGTAATTTCCTTTGGTGGAGTATTTTTGTTTGATAACACCTTCAAAATGCTACCATGATTTAAAAATCGGATCATTCATTTCTTAGGTACAAAAAATGGCCGTTATACATTGAATACCTTAAGCCGGACACAAGTCCATATGATGAACTAATAGGTTTTAATTAGCCAAGTTTTGTAAAACTGTTCTTAAATTATTTCATGCCTGAACTACCTACAATGTAAACATTAAACGATTCTTCTTTTCTTTTTTACAACCGTCAGTACTGTCCATATCAAAGTTCTTTTTGTGGTTCATTATGTTAACTGTTCACATGTTGATTTGTCCAATTGTTAAACTCTTATTGTACTAACATACCCCATGTGGAGGCTTTAGTAAAATAAAAGTTTCAAAGTTTCAAGTGAACATAATAAAACTTGAGAAGAGCGAAGAACTACTACTCATTTGTTACAGTTTTGTTGATATTTTTCACTAAGCTGACTCTTCTAATATAATTCAAACATTTATTTCTTATAGTCGTTACTCTTGGAAACTGATCGACCTAAATTACTTTAAATAATTAAAAACAACCTTCTATATGGAGTTCAACCCTCGGCAATGTATTTTACTTTCGGCGGGTACTGATTGAGAAAAATAGGTAATGATAACGGACAAGTTTTCAAATTTTTTGGTAATGCAATGCAGCCCTAGTTTCAAGTTCCTGGGGCCCTTTTACAAAAGAACTTACGACTAAGACCAAAAACTTCAGTTGATTGTAAAATTTTGCAAAATTAATGATTCTGTTTAAAATTGCTAGAGTAAAAATATATTACTACATTCCTTTTAAAAAGATTAAATCCATTTTCAATATAAAGTAAATTTAAAAAGTTATAAGCAGAATTATATTTTGGTCTTAGTCGTAACACTCTTTAGAAATATATTTCATGTAGGATCCTCTCCCATCGGCACACACCACGTCCAAAATGTAGGATCCTCTTCTATCCTTGCAAACCACGTAAGATACTCTCCCATTCTGAAGCCGTAGAGCAAATATATTCGACACTCCGGACTGTGGCCTGAGACAATGGGAAAAAGTAAATACAATGATTTTCCTAGAAAGGGATCTAAAGTAAGGATACATGTATCATGGTTCAATCTAATGAAAAATGCAAAGATTTAAAAAATCAAGTTGGATCCGCCCCTGAAATGTGAAATTATTATTTTATTTTTTAAGTATTACGTACATACAATTTTATCAAATTCGATTCATATAATTACTCAAGTGTTATATAGCTTATCGTAAATGGAGATGTTTATTGACTTTATTGACCGCCCCTGATACTCGGAACGTAGCCTTGGCTGTTGAGGGCTTACTCGAGTGGAACGCGTCTTCCTGATAGCGACACTATTTCGGACAGGATTCTGTGCACAGTCCGGACAATGAGTCAGTCTCCAGTACTTCCGGAAAAAGATTCCTACGGACAGCTTAGTGATGGCAGGGACGTGTACAGGTGAGAAAAAATTGTGGAAATCGACCGGCCTTTGTTTTCATGTTCTGTTTGCACCGGCGACTACCGCAGCTCGTTTCTGTCATAAATACTTCTGTAGGGTTATTTTGCAGGTACTCGTTTACCAACAGTGAAAAGGTGACGGTAAGAGTGATCGATTATGGCTGTGTAATCACTGACATCTTAGTACCTGACAAAGATGGCAACATAGACGATATCAGTATTGGATATGACAAAATCGAGGGTGACTAAAGAAAAGCATTTCCAACATTAATTTTTTTTTTCCATCACTGTTATCAAAACTGACATAAAAATATTATAGTTTTTTTTATTTTTTGTTTTTTTAAAAATATTTTTTGAGTAAATAATAAAAATTTAAAAATGTCATCGTAAAAAATGCCTCACTGCATAAAATTACATGTACATGTAGTATTCATTACAGAAAATATAAATAATATCATATTAAATATAGATCTATTATTTTTAAGACTATGAACCAAACCCGAGATGTTTTGGCTCCATCTGTGGAAGAGTTGTTAATGTGATTTCTAACGCCAAATTTGTCCTGGACGGAAAAGAGTACAAACTTCCTGCTACATTCTCCAGCTACGAAAACGAGGAATCCAAACATGCCATCCACGGGGGAGTCAAAGGCTTTCACTTGGTAAACAATCCTTATGCTATATTTACATCCACTGATTATTATCCTCTCGCCACAAAGTTTGAGGGTATATAGTAACGCACTTGTGTGTGGGGGGTGAGTGAATGATGGAGTGAATGCTTGCGTAACGGAAGTTACACAAATAATATTCGCGGATTTGCGGTACTCTTTTTCGAGGGGTTGCCTTTGTTTCTTCTTTATTTTTTTTATGAAAACCATTCCCCTTAATCAGTTCACTAGCAGTAAACTAGTTAAATTTCTGCAATAGTTGCAATTATTATTTCCTGCATTGACAAAAAAAAGAAGGATTTTTCGTTTTAATGAATTTCGAACATTATCAAATATGTCTGAGTTGGTTTTTTCATTCTCTATATGCTCATAATTGTTTTCAGAAATTGTTTAGTTCGTGGATTGAAGGGGACAAAGTTAATATGAAGTACGTGAGCCCTGATGGAGAGGAGGGGTACCCAGGGGAGCTAACGACTATTGTTTCATACCAACTGACCAATCAGAACGAGCTTGTGATCGAATACAAGGCTACTACAAACAAACCAACCATAGTGAACTTTACAAACCACGCCTACTTCAATTTGCAAAAACATGTACGTAAAACACGCATATAAAAATTCATCAAAATTTGCGCAAGAACTCTTCATCTTATAATAAAAACAATATTTTGAATATCTGCGTGATTGGATTTAAGGAGAAAAAACTTTTATAAATCTTTTATTGGATTACCCAAACATTGACGATCACGTCCTGCAGATCAGTGCAGAAAAATACACAGTCAACAAAGAGGACGATATTTTTATTCCATCAGGTATTGGAACAGAAATATTGATGTATATGTATATACACGTGTCATTTACTAATTAATGAATTATTATAGAAATTCAGATAATGAGTACAGAACATTTAGTGTACTTAGTGCTTGCAATATTCATACCTAATAACGAGGAAAAATTATGAAATATGTTAATTATACTGTCTGATCATTTAATGTTTCAGGAGAGTTGCGGGACGTGGCTGGAACACCTTGGGACTTCCGGAAACCCGTGAGGTTCCGAGATAGACTGAAAGATGGGCCGCATGGAAAGGGGTTCTTCCACAACTTCTGTTTAGGAGAGTCAGGACCCCTCAAACATGCAGCGACGTAAATCTTACAAATACATCAATCAGTGGCGGGAGGAGGGGAGGGGTTCATGGATGTAGTTAATAGTTATATTTATATGAGGGTGACACCATTAATGTTTCACTGTGCAAGTGCTATTTACAATGATGATGCCATATGTTCCTTTTAGGTTAGATCACCCTCCCACGGGAAGACGAATAGAAGTGAGGACGACAGAGCCAGGAATGCATCTATACACCGGATGTAACACCATTCCCCACACCAAGGGGAAAGAGGGCGCTGTGTACGAACCTTTCTGTTCTATTTGTTTAGAGACACAACACTATCCGGACTCGCCTAACCATGTACGTACTATATACCTGTAACCCTTATTACTAGTAAACGGTTTTATTTACATGTAAATACATAGTATATGAATATGCATTTGACCAAGTAAGAAGTGCATGATAAATGTGGATCTTTTTTTCACCTGTTAGATACATCTATTGAATATCATTTCTCCAACATAATCAAGATTCGTTCAGGTTATGATTAAACTGTAATCTTTGTGAGTCATATGCGGAAAATTAATGCGTAAAACAGAGGTTAATTACCATACATTTTTAGTGTACATGTATCTAGCTCATTTTTTATGTTTAGCATACATTGCACTTACAAAATATTTGTTGACCATACAGTTTTACCAAAGAACGCTCTTGATCAAACTTTTAATTAAATTAATTTCAGGAGAATTTTCCAAGTATCGTGTTGAGGCCAGGAGAACAATTCTACAGCAAGACCATCTATAAATTCACTTTGATACCACAGTGATCTAGATTAACTTTATCAAATGTAATTATTATTTTTTTGCAATATTGAAACTTTACCTCGAAATAAAATATATTTTAATAGAAGGTCGTTTTACTTACTTTTTTGGAACAGGAGTTCGATATTCAGCCGTTTATCTATTTGTGAACAAAACTTGCATATATATACTCGGTAGCTGCTATAGTTTAACCCGTATACAGAGTACACTATTATTTTCCTTGTACAAGGGGTCATGGATGAAGCAGTTTAATTCTTGGCTTATGTCCCTTTATTGTACTTTAAAGGAATCCACTTATTTGTATTTTAATCATAAGCAATGGCATGCAGGTCTAAACAGAAACGATAGGGTGCCCAGACCTCATAAGAATTTTCAAGTTTATTTAAGATGGTAAAGAAGCAAACTAACATGTGAGCTCTTATAAAAATCAATGTATATAAAGTAATTCTGTCCATCCAGCGATGAAGCATACCAAATATTTGATTTTTAAATCTTTTCTATCCACTACCCTCCTTCCCAACACACACATCCAAGCATGTACATGAGAAAAGTCAACCTGAAAAGGAGGATTTGGACCTCTGGAATTTTTATGAATATTTTGTCTTGATGTCTTGGATATGAGCTGCAACTCTCCCTCTCCTGCCCTCCACCAAAATAGTTATTTTCCCCTTTCCTTGAATATGTTACTATTGTATTCCTTTTTAGAAAAATAAAATCTGGATCCACCTTTCAAATTGGTGCTCAATTTTTTAACATTTTCTTCTAAAATATTGTATCCCTCTGTAATAAAAAATCAAACATGTTTGTGAAAAGGACAAGATATGGTAACGACCGAATTTGGCCCCTGGTTTGGGGTGTCTTACAACGATGAAAAAATATACTTGTAGTTCATAATCAAAAACCACGTGTAATGAGTATTGATTCTAAAAGATATGATACACAGAGGTCACAGGAAGATCACAAAATGTATCATCAATTTCTGAATTTTCTCACTTTAATTCTAATTTTTATCAATTCTAAAGCTCATATTGTTTCAGAAAACACTTCTTACAAGTTTGTCTTTCTACCAGATTAATATATTTCATGCACTAGTATCAAATACTATCTTGTGTATGAACATCTCAGATATACAAGCTTATGCTCTATGTTTCCCGAAGTGAAAATTATCTTAAATTTGACGACATTCTATCAGAATTGAATTTGTCTGTAAAATTTTACTCTTTGTCATCCTCTTGTGAATTCCGTGTATGATTTGAATCAAAATTCATGCTGGTTTTAAAATAAGCGTCATTTAAAGTTACCATATCCTGTCCTTTGGCTAAAATGAAAAATTCCGAAAAGTGTATGACTGAAAAGTTAGCACAAATCATACACAAATTTGAGCTTCTAATTAAGTTTGTTCAAAAGGATTGATTAATTGTTTATTGTTTAACGCCGAGTCGGCAATATATATTTCAGCCATATGAATTTCGACGGATTGTTCAGAAGGAAAATCAGAATTAAACTAAAAGACACAATTTTTTACTGAAATAATTCTGCTTCATTTTTATTTTCTTCTAAAACTTTACCATTATGTACATAAACATACAAGCTTAACGTTATCATTTGTGTAATGATTCTATGACACGAGTGACGGTCCTTGATATTGTTGAAGTTGAGTAGGGGGGTGTGCGCGCTCTGTGTAAAGCAAAAGTACAATTTTTAAACTTTTGAATAACAATGAGTCAGTCACATGTGATACCCAGAAAAGATTCTTTCGGTCATTTCACAGATGGAAGGGAGGTTAACAGGTAGCAATATTGTTTAAACAAAAATATTTCATTAAAGATATCAGAACTTTGATAGAGCTTACGGAGGACAAGTACTGTCAAAATTCATTATTTTCAGGTACACTTTCTGTAACCAGAATGACGTCACGGTGAGGGTGATTGAGCTGGGCTGTGTTATCACGGACATCCGGGTTCCTGACAAGGAGGGAATAGTGGCTGATATCAATCTCGGATATGATGCTGTAAAAGGTAACCCCACCACAATTTTCACTGACATTTATCAAAATTATTAGACATTAGTAACATATTGTAAGTTTTTTAGGGGGATATTATTTCTTTCCTAGACTACGAGACGAATCCTTTGAGTTTAGGGGCTATATGTGGCAGGGTCGTCAATGTCATTTCCAATGCCAGATTTACTCTGGATGATAAGGAATATCACGTGACTAAAAACTTCGGAAATCATTGCATTCACGGAGGAAAGAGATCGTTTACACATGTAGGTATCCTAAACATTTTGTTCTTAAATTAAATCTTAAGTTGAAAGTTAAAGAGACATATAAAGAGACATATACGGAAAAGCTTTTCTTCAGAGAATTTGTCCCTTATTTTTAAATGAATCGTTAGTTTTTATATCACATAATACGAAATAAATACCAAAATGTGCATTCAAATCTTATTAAATTCTAATTTAATTCTCACTTCATGAAAGCAACTCTGGAGTTCATGGATAGAAGATGATAAAGTGAAAATGAAATACGTGAGCGCTGATGGGGAGGAGGGATTTCCTGGAGAGTTGACGACCATTGTATCATATCAACTGACCAATCAGAACGAATTAGTGATCGAATATAGCGCCTCCACGAACAAACCAACACCTGTCAATCTTACAAACCACGCCTACTTTAACTTAGCAGGACACGTAAGATAAGGATAAGTTTCTCATTCAACTTTTTAAAGATCAATTGTACATATTCTGATATTTTTATTTTTTTTTACTTTATACAGAATTACCCAAACCTAGATGAACACGTGTTACAGATTCTTGCAGACAAATTCACACCTACCAAGGAAAATGATATTTATATACCATCAGGTAACTTTCAAGATCGCAGCAGCTACGAACCGCTACTTATGTGCTATAGCCAAGCTGCCATTCAAATGATATATTTAAGTAATTTGGAGTTAACTTACACATACATTTTCGCGTGATTTCGCCTCTATTCGGAAAATTATTTGATAAGGACAGAGGTATTTGTCGCCAATGTCTCACACAAGGTGGCGAGTTGAGCCGTTCGTTCAGAAGAGCTCATATGTTCTTTGTATGTGTACAACAACAGTTGCCCTTCATCTAGTTTTCTTGCTGATGCCTTTTTTGTTTTGGTCGTTTACTCTTTTCACTGTGATATGAACTTACGGACAATTTCCACGACTGTGACACTTATATTGTAATCGGCTTTGGCCGATCACAGTTGACTCCATGTGAGACATCCGGCAAATGTAATCATTTGCGCACACATGACGCTACGGACTACTTTGTTTATTATGCACAACTTCATGTAAATCTGCCATAACATATTTGGTAGTAAGGTGCCTTTTTCAATGCATTTACTTTGAGATGCAAACATTCATACAGTTACTTGGTGAAGAAACATTTTCTTTGAACACAGTATGCGCAAGAATATCTTTAAATTCTGAACCTTCTTCCTATTAATATAGTAAATTTATTCGTTCATTGGTGTTTCGAGTAAGTCCAGGGATCTAAATACGTCCCTGATAAGTCCAACTCATTTGACTGTTCTGTTCATTCTGTCCATTATTAGGCCGCAAGTTGACACCTGAATATTACACTTCCCGATCGCTTCCTGTAAAAAGGAATACTAGTACTTGTTCATCTCTTAATTCAGGTGAAATCCGTGACGTCTCAGGAACAATGTACGATCTCCGTCAGCCGGTCAGACTGGGGAATAGGCTCGGCAAGATGCCCCATGGGAAAGGATACTTCAACAATTTCTGTGTGACAAATGTCGATGGAAGTCTGAGATTAATAGCAAAGTATGTCTGTTTCAGACTGTCCATTAACTGTATACTAGCCATTCTTTTCATATGAATTCGTCTTTTTGCATTTTTATTTCTTTTATTCTAACCATTCAGATAAATAGATTGATTACCCCCAGTATCTTGTTTCACCAGACTGGACCATCCTCCCACGGGCCGCCGTATGGAGGTGTACACTACTGAGCCTGGGGTGCAGTGCTACACGGGAGGAGACACGATCCCCCACACCCAGGGGAAGGAGGGGGCGGTGTACGAGAAACTCTGCTCCATCTGCCTAGAGACGCAACACTATCCAGATAGTGTCAACCAGGTACACAACATAATAAGGAATTTTTTATGTACTGTAAACGCACATGACTTAGCACTTAAAATTTAGCGCAATCGTCCTCTTCAACTGATTAGCGCAATTAAGTGCACTATACAACCTTATTATACACGATGTCTCTTTAATGCACTACTAGTTACTTTATGTAAATAAACAGTTAGGCCTTCATCACATTCGCACCAAACTTTACTCTGTCCCTTAATTTGAAAGTTTTGAATACTCTATTTGTAAAAGTCGAGGAGAGTCCGTATTTGGATTCTTTTACACCAGAATACACAGGCTCGGATCTGTGATAATGGATATTGTAAATCATAGGCTCTATTGTTATAACAACGACATGTGTAATGTTTAATCATATAATTATTAGCGTGAAGATAAAATAGCGGACAAGAAACAGCGCGAAAAGGCGCTAAAATATGATTACCGCTAAAATAAATACGTTTACAGTTCATAGACTTTGTATATTTCGCTTCGAAAAGCACGCACACTTAAATTGCATTGACAAATATTTTGAGAATACTTTTCTGATTTATAAACGGCATATCAAGCACAGTGATCAACATTGATGAAAAAACGCCTTTAACAAACAGTCTGGAATTATTCCAATGAAAACGTTGAAGAATAGCTTTTACATCTCAGTCTTTTTTATATTTCATAGGAAAGTTTCCCCAATACAGTTCTTCGTCCAGGTCAGCAATACCATAGTAAGACGGTTTACAAGTTTGGACTGCTGGATAAGTAACCGGAAACACAGCAAACCGTGAATTATATTTCCCTTTTATGTTATCATGATTAATTAAGGAGAATGAAATACTGCGCACAAAATGAAGTTTTCCTGTAATAATTACAAGGTGAAGAATTAAGTGAAATCCAACCAACTTTTAAGTAAAATATATAGGGCAAATCTGAAGTAAATCATTGTGGAAGACGAAAATTTTGTAAGGAGACCTCCTTGATTCCTCATTTCTTGAGTTACCTATGTACATATATCTGACTGGGTAGAAAGCTATTCTCCGTTATTAAATTATGATCGAGTAGCTGAATTTGGTGTTTGCGTAATATAAAAATTATAGATGTCCAAAAGTGCATTTATATCAATTTCAAATATATAAAGGACAAACTGTTTCTGTCTATATGCATATGCTCAAATCAAAATCAACTACTCTGTAAATTAAAAATATATGTACATCCAGAGATATTTAACATTCGTTATATACATTGTACATGTACCCAAGATATCACTGCAAAGCAAAATATAAAAATAAACTTCGTCTATACTCTCTTAATCTTTTCTTATAGCTAATTTAACCCTATGACCTTGACCTTGAAGTTTATCTTACTTTTCAATCACTGGTTATAACTTTTGAATGAGATTTTGACCTTGGTCGTATCTTTTTTACCTGAAGATAGAGAGGACTTTCATATTGGTTCACATGTGCATTACCTCTGACAAGACCTTTCCGAATGTACTAGGATTTTTGACCTAGTGACCTTAAAGTTTGACGTACTTTACAAAAGCTTAAATCTTGGCCGTAAGTTTTTGCACCAGAACGTATTAGTTCGAAAAATATATGACCTTTTTGTATGATGGACAGACAATACAGTTACAATATGCCATATATCATTGCACCCCAACCAATAGGACCTCGAAAGCGGGGAACCACAATTCTCTGAATTTCCCTGTTACATTTTCGATTTTTTCAGAGGAACCACGGGGCTGATTTCAACCAAACTTTCATAAAGCATCCATAGGTAATGAGAATTCAGTTTATTAAAATAAATGGCCACATCCTTTTCCAAGGCGAGATGCATAAGAAATGGTGCAATTTCTGGAAGGGGACAATTAAAGTTAGTGTTGTAACCCATGATTCTCTTATTTAAGTGATATACATGTATTCCCAATGTATTCAGTTTTAAACCCGTTAACTTTTATAACAAAAGAGTAGAGTAGACTGATACTTTATACTAAACAAGAACTCATCGACTGTGTACTGCTTGTAAGAGGAGCGGATGGGTTCTAGAATCACATTCTGTGGTTAACTTAACCACTAGCGGATTTAAATAAGTGGAAGAATTTATGTCGGATTACCTTAATCTCGGATGACCGTCGCTGCTTTGACGTTTTAACATTTATAATCTAGAACGTTAATTTTTAATCTTTATATAGCAGGATATATAGGCAAGCTAGAAAAATGAATTTTAACAAGAAGAAAATAATATAGAAACGCTACAGAGGTAGACAAAAAATAGGAATGGGTAAGTCTATTGTATCGTGTTCTCATAAAAGGTTTGAAAATGGTTATGTTATATGATTGTCACTTATAAAAATCGAAAAAAAAAAGAAAAGAAATCGTTGATAAAATGTGATGGGAGAGTCATATCTAAAATTTCAGTTCTCTCTTAAAGCAGATGAGTTATCATTTCTATACTAGTCTTATTGTTTTTAGCATGTTATCAAGTATTTTTGAATGAACCAGGTGCAAGCAGGGATGTATAGAGAATTTTGAATCTCGTGTAAATGTTACGAATATTATTTACGTGCTTTAATATTAAAGCATATATAGAAGTTTGACTTTATCTATAAGAGACACAATTTTTACAATATCTATATAATAATGTATAATTTGCACAGTTCTTTCAATCAATTCAAAGAAGTATTCAAAATTTCGCAAAAATAGAGAATGGATGATTTGAAGTTTAATGATTTTAAAATATTGCAAATAATAATGTAAGTCATTTAATGATTATTAAAGACACGATTATGTAAGAAATATTTTTTTTTCCTTTTTCGTAGAGTCTCGTTATAAATTAGAAGTTTTCGAAATCTCGTCAAGAACATACAATGTATTGATGATTTTGGGAAAACATACCTGTAATTTTCCCGATATTTCTAATACAAATATATATCACCATTGTTAAAGACATCTTGTAATATTGAGATCTGTAACCGAGGATTTAAATTTGTTTACAAAGTCAACCTGATATAGGAAACACTTTAAATCGGTGTCCACAATACACGTATGTATTTAATAATCCTTACAACGTTTTATTTTGCACAATCTACTTATTATTCATTAAAGGACAAGGTACATGGTACTTGTTTTGGTATATTATGTGTGTACCTCTCGTACCGTATCTAGAAAGATTTGATTTATCAACAATTGTGATAATTTATTTCCTTCAATTTTCTTATTGTTTTAAACTTAAAACACGACATCAGTATACATATATTTAAAAAATTGGCGAGAAGACATTTTTCATTTTAGATTGAGAAAGTCAAAACACCAATTTACTTGTTAAGATATGAAAATTTAGATAAGCGTAAAGGTACATAAAGGTCTATTAACCCTTAATGGGGGAAAATACTTTAGTGCAATTCGTTTAAGAATAAAATATACCTTCTATCTGATTCCAAAATATCCTGGTACAAATAATAAATTCTTAAAGATTTGTGATTCTCCGTTTTGATTTTATTTATTTTAAAGGACAGGGAAGTTATATATTTACCTACATTTCTTGAAAATCTTAGCATTTTCCCATTTTAACAATTCAAATGAAAAAAAAAGATTAATGACTTTCAAATTGATTAAACATTCAAATGAGGAATTTCATACACTGTGTGTGATTTTCATAAAATCAAATGAACTATTCTTTAGACTGGGTTTTTGGACACTTTTTTGCAGGCGTTTTGTCTAAGTACAAACCTATATATTCCTGTTAAATTTCTACTTCTTTCAATCTAGAACTACTGCGTCAATTTACTATCAACCAAAAGAAAAAAAAGACATTAAGAGTCAACAAGTAGTTGATTTATCCTTAATATGTTTTTATTAATACCTGACGGGTAATGTATTACTAGTATTTCTTCTGAAATTGTTTAACATGAAGGGTTGCAACATACCCGATTGTTTACCACATCTCATGATAATTAATCCCTACAGTATCACTTCATATTTAGCCTTCTTTAGTGAGTTTGTGCTTATGTATTTATTGTCTTCATCCTTTTCATTCTTTAGCTCCGGCTGAGAAGAACGAGTATCAATTGGCGCGAAACTATGGCCTCGATATCAGCATGCCGGAAGCGAACTTTGCGGTGGCCTCTGCCGCACAGAAGGAATATCAGAAACAGTGCACCTTCCTGTATCGAGACTTTATGAAAAACATGAATTCCTACATCAAACAGGAGCAGAAAATCAAAACGGAGCTCCGCAGCTTAAAGAAACAAAAACTTCTGAACAGCCAGTACTCACTTTACCGTACTGATGGCAAAGATTTGTTTTCCAATGCTAAAAAAGAGAGAGAAATGCTGCTGAAGAATAACGAATTATCAAACTCCTTCTTTGATGATATTTGTTTTAATCCGTGGGGTCTTGATTCCATCCTAGACGAAGACTTGATCCGCCCAAAGACCGCCCCGGCAGATATGAACGAAAGTGGTCTTCTAACAGAACAGGATTCTGCAAACTTTCCGCCGAACACAGAAACGGACCACGTACAGCCGCCATCACTGGCGGCGACACTAGATTCTAAACATGTTGACACTCATGTAGCCAAGGTAGAACACCTCTTGGAATCTCAGTCTCATACAAATCCGCTTGTTCCTCCGAAATCCTCAGATCTTCCGAGTCCGACGCATCCGCGCTTACCTGTCAAACCGCCTGAAGCGCCAAAACTTGAACATGTTCCTGATGAGCAGGACACAGTAACTGGAGAGAGTGTGTGTGACGGCGAAGTGGACATTCATACGGAGAGAACACGAGCCAGGAATATTGTCATCGATAGATATAAATTTCTAGAGCTCCAGAAAGGAGAAATCGATGTAAAGCTTCGGAACAAAAATGGTGCATTCCTTATCAGACCAGTAAAACTCAGCTACGATCCAACAGGTGTTGATGCAGTTTTTACCGCTAAAGATCCATCAAAGGAACGAATGGCCCTCGTAAGAAAGAAAACAAATTTGAGAACACCAACAGCATCGGCAGAGTTAAAGATAAACAATAGAATAGCCATTCAAAAATCGCTTGTTGGGAAAGCAGCTAAAAAGACCACGGTGGCTGAAATCTTTAACAGCGCTAGGGATAGGAAAACACGCCACTTCAGAATCATTTCAAAGACCAACAAAGGCGAGGAAAATGAAGATGAAGCAAATAAAGATACCAAGATAAGGATAAGACCAGCTTCGTCCCCTGTGGTAAGAATCCCTAATGCTTCTGAAGCTATAAGAAAAAGTAGCGTTTTGAAAAATCGAAAACCAGACAACAGGCCACCAATTGTGATCCGAGAAGCTTTCACGGAAAGGGCTTCAAAGGAGACGATACCTATTGTGTCTAGAGAAATTAATTTGAATGACTCCTGTAATGGTGCTCAAAATAAAGTCTTGTCCAGCTCACGTAATTCAATAAACTTAAACTTACCGATGAACAAAAGAAACGGCGATTCTGTGAGACCTGTAGCGCGATCTACATCACAAACTTCTATGGAGAGCCATGATCTAAGTACTTCGGGTCATCATAGAGTGACATTTGCAAGGAGGGGATCACATGACTTATCACACCTAAATAGGTCCGCCTCCTCGACGTCAATGAGAGAGGGGAATGTCCAGTTCATGATGAGTGACGTCGACATGAACAACATGCTTCAAAGGTTGATAGAAGGAAAAGGGGAGGAGGGTGACTACAGTGCGGTCCAAAACCAGGAGAACGCCATGGATTTACAAGATGCATTGAAAGCTATGACGTTCATCAAACGTTTGAGTAGAATGTCGAGCCGGAACAAACGAAATTCTCCGTCAGAGGTCGCTTCTAGTACCGGAACAGCCAACACCTTACATCTCCCACCACGCCTTTCCAGCCGACAGGAAACAAATAAACTCATCCGAGATGCGAAGCAGAAGGACAGCGAGTACATACAATCCATGTCCTCAATGAGACGCCGGGTGGCGCTGGGCGCCTCCAAATCCAAGAGTGGTTTGAAATAGAAGCATTTTGTGAAATGCCTGATCTCAGTGGCTAGATGTTATGATATGTATCTAACAACGCGGCATTTGAACTATCCAGATTCTAAGATCTCATTTCGCACTGATGTTTTGTTTCCATTCAGCACATTTTAAAGCAAGGAATTCTCTATGTTTAGCACGATTCTATTACTTGTGTACAGAAATGATTTAATAAAACATTTACCTGATTATGGAAATATTAGCAATTTTTCAATATTTAAACATGTGAAAAAGGTGGAGATAACGAACAAGGTATATATGTAAGGTAAGACAAAATATGACTTGAGTAAGTAAGAATATGTAAAATCATTTACATTCGTGTGGTCAAATTTTCGTGGTTTGAGGAAAAATTATTGGTTGTGGGATTTGATTTCGTGTTTGTTTGACAAATGCAATTTAATGATACTGTAGTGTGTTGTTTAAACTTTTTTGCGGAGGACATGAATTTGTGAGTCTATTTGTAATACGAAAAAAACAAAAATTATAACCCCACGAAATTTAATGGTTTCACAATTATAGGATTCGGGTGTTGCATAATTATATATGTACATGTACCGTGAATCACCGAAAACTATCATTGTCGTTTTTGTGATTATATTAAGGTAGTCGGATCCCCAGGTTCTGAAAATCAGCTTTTAAGTAATTGAAAATGCTTACAAAAATGTCTCTGATTTCACGTAGTAACATGAATTTACCCATGGTATTTCTTCAAAGTTCACTATTATAGTTAATCATATTATATAGGGAAAATTATCAAATCTCATATACATTTTCAGGAAACGCGAATAAAAACACCAGCTATGCATTTTCTAATTCAAAATTGATCAATAAATATAATTCAGGATAGAAAAATATAGGTATTCAGGCATTTGGAGAAAATTGCACTTTTTTATGCTTATACAGTATTTTTAGTTCTCTTTACTTCAATTGTTATATAATAAGCTTGTGCTATCATTGCATATCACATCACGTATCACGTCTTTCATATTATGCTAATAAGCATTGGTATCTAATGCTAGCCTAAAAGAAATTCAATTTCTCTTAAAATGAATTCATTTTTTTTCTTTTATGGGGTACAAATGTCAACATTTTACAAGACTGTTTCTAAGACTTCAGAGAACCTTGAATCATATTGAAATGCATAAAATGAAAATTGTTGCACGAAAAGATCTCAATTTCAAGCTTCATTTTGAGACTCTTTTAATAAAATAATAAATTTAATAGTTATCCTTCCTGGCTAAGGATCGGATTTCCTTAATAAAATAAGTAGTTTTATTAAATTGTAATAATATATAAGCGAAAATTAACTACATTGTAAGTATACGCAGGTAAAAGGGGATGGGTGCTTTCATTTACGTTAGTCCCTGTTGTGCAACATTCAGACAATTTCGGAATATTTCAAAATGCAAAATTTCATTTCAAATGCTATAGTTGCAAAAGAGTAGATTTCAAATATTATCAAGATAAATACGTTCGATATGTACTAGTATAATAGTAGCCACATTTTCTGTCATCCCTTGTTAACATCCTGATATCAAGAACTTGTATATAACTTATACTAGTATCTTATCATATAAAAAGAATCAGAAAAAAAAGAAAAACACACACAAACAAACGAACAAAAACAAACAAAACATAATCTGGTACATTGTGTCAAACAATGTTTCTATATAAGGATCTTACTTTTTTATGGGATGAAATGTTAAAAAAAATGTCTTTTTTTGTATTAATTCTGCAAATAAAGACTGACCAACAAAGAATTCTATTGCAAATGGGTAGAACCATATTAATATGTGGAGCATTTTCTCCCCGTGTTTTAGAGATTAGAAACACGAGTAGACATCCAGTCTACATCCAGTCCACGCATCTGTACAACGTGAAATAGGAGCAAAGGTTCCGAATATCAAAGACGGTTTAAAGAAAGTTAATTCTAATTGTAATATCAGGGACCAATATACTACGTCCTTAGTGAAATATTACAGCACATTTTGATTCCAAACAATTGAAATACGAATGTTAAATCTACTGTACATGTCTAGAAGGAATAAAAACAATCAGAAACAATAACCACGTTAAATGGAATTTACTAAACATCACTTTAGCTAACATGTACATGTAGTCTGAATAATTATGTTCTTTCTCTCTATCTCTCTCTCTCTCTCTCTCTCTCTCTCTCTCTCCTAATTAATTATGCCTTTGGAGACAATTCTACAATCCTGATCAGCATATGTAAAGTATGCAGTGGTTATTTGTTATTTCCTGATTCCAATGAAAATTTATCCGTATCTCTCAAAATAAAGTGGAATAATATTTAGAGACAGTGACTAGCATTGTTTTAATTTCTTTGAATTGATCCGGACAACTTAAAGTATATTGCAAAACATTGGTCGGGTTCTTATATCCTAACGAGAAAACTGATATACACATGTTCTGGTGAAGTCCCCCCCCCCCCCTCTCTCTCTCTTCCAGTTTGTATAACCTTTTAAAGGCTAGCAAGGCACAGGTATCCCTAGAGATCGAGCATTACCAGATCTTTAGAAAAAAATTCTCTTTTCTCTCTCTCTCTCTCTCTCTCTCTCCGATGACTATCCTTGGCCAATATATTTGCATGTATCTGTGTAAAAAGGGAGATTACTGGTCCCATTAGTTGCAGCTTTGCACATATAATCCATAATCCTTTAATCCACGTAAACTCCAGATGCCCCGACAATGTGCATTGTTTGTTTTAATTCTTTTGTAAGTGCCAAATAAATAATCAGTTGTTTCAAATGTTTAGTTAAGGGAACACTATCATGGGTAAGTCTGTCTATATGAATTTTGTCCAGTATATTTTATTGACAATTCTACTATTACAACAAACATATGTTATTATTACTTCAAACACAACTGCATTGCCTTGAAAAGAGAGTTACATGTATACGCCTTATGACCAGCATTATTCTGTTTAGATATTTATACACCTTAGTATCTATTATTCATATAGTATCTATATATACTTCATTATTTCAAGAATATGAATTATATCAACATACAGATTGACGCGTCAATAGATTCATTTCACCAATTGTACGAAATATAGTTGAGTCGCCTGCAGAGCAGAGCGATACTTGGGGATCACTTTACCCGGCGTCTGTTTGTCTGTCTGTCCCGTTTGTCACACTTTATATCTCGAGAACTGTATGAGATATGGATAAGGTATTTTACACATTTATTGCATTGCACTGTGGCTTTTGTAAATTACCATAGTTTCCGACCTCGTGACCCTTGACCTTGACCTTTGACCCACTTTTCAAAATAGTTCATAGCGCCGATGTACCGCAAAGTTTTGACATTTAAGAGGAGATGCTATCTAGCATGTGCACTGTTTGAGATAAAACAATGTGAAAAATCCACTTTACCTTGACCTTTGAAGTACTTTGCAAGATATATCCAGGGCAGTTAAATTTAACTTATGACTTTTGAGAGGCAGAGTTTTAATAATCAACATTAATACATGCTTATGAGCTAATGATACTCACGTTGAAAATGTATGATATTCAGTTACCACACACTTATATTAAAATACTCTGAAAATACATTGGGATTGGTATTCCACATCGTGTAGACCAAAGACAAACTGAAATCTTTAGAAACACGTATTAATAAAATGATAAATAATTATTTCGAATAATTTCAATTTTATTATTCATTTGAGAGTTGGGGGACCATATTTTCTTTGTCAGATTCTATCTTAGTCTTATACTATCCGAGGATACTCTTTTTTTCTCTGCAGACAAATGCATGAAACTATCGTGCATGCTAGTAGTAAATAAATAGCTAACCACTCTTAGATTTATTTAGATCATTAATGAAGCTACAAAGCAGGCGACACATGCATTCCTTGGAACACTCTAAGTTTATATTTTTGTATCATCAACAATATCAAAATTTGCAAGGGACTAAATCAACATGAACAGACTACATGTATACCACGGAAATAACCACTGAAAAAACAGACTTTAATACAGACGAGGAATCTCTGTTTTATAACATGTAATTGATATCGCTACCTCTTTACTGGCAATTCTTTATATCCTAGTTCCCCTTTAATCTGTTTTTCTCTAAGGATTATTCAAGGACTCAAAGTATCCATAAAAGCGATTTCTTGTAAACGGATTCATTATAGTTTCAATGTACTGGTTCAAAAGTCAGAATTGGAGGTCATTTAATAAATTGACTTTCTAGATACTACTTATTAAGATACGTCTTACTCATGTAATCTTATAAATTCAGTAAGAAGTAAATGCTTAGTTTAACAAGTTAACATATTTCAGCTCCCACAGAGAAAGATTCCTACGATTTGGCCCGGAACTATGGACTTGACATATCCATGCCAGATGTCAACCTTGCTGTGTCAACAGCAGCTCAGAAAATATACGCCAAAAAGTGCAACAACCTCTACAAGGAGTTTCAGAAGAAACTATCCTTCCTCATCAAGGAGGAACAGGTGGTCCGCCGCGATCTAATGAAGCTGAAGAAAGAGAAGGCGGTGAACAGTCGTTATTCCCTTTATAGGACGGAAGGAGCTGATCTCTTCTCCAAAGCTTGTCAGAAGCGGAAGACGTACAGGGAGAATAATCTGGCCACGATATCACCTCTTCTTGAAGACTGTTTCGATTTCACGCCGTGTGGGATTGACTCGGTGATAGCAGAAGAGGATGAAACAGAGGAACGTCCTAAAACTGCCCCCGGTGATAATTCTCAATTACCTGTGGATAAAATTGTAGGTGCTGATGTGGATTCCGTGTTCGAGGACAACAGGCCTAAAACTGCCGGGATTTCACTAAAGGAAGGTAAAAAGACATCTAAGGCTGATGTTAAATCCAACATCATTAAACCTCGTGAAAGGAAAAATTCTGAACCCGATCACAAAGACAGTAAAGGAAACGAAAGAAAGAGTCTAGAAGAAATAAAACTGCCTGAGCAGAAAATCGCACAAATTGATCGACTATTGAAATCTGCTAGTCAAGTTAGATCCAATCCCATAGACAATGAAATGACGTCACTTCCTGAATTGAAATCGGAAGAGGAGAGTGACAAGGAAGATGGAGAAGTTGATGTACAGACTGAACGAACAAGGGCAAGAAAAATTACGATTAAAGCAGAGAAATTTCTTGAACTTGAAAGAGGCAAAACCACAGTGACTTTAAAAGACAAAGAGGGTGAATTCATTTTGAAACCCTTAAACATTAACTATGAGCCAGACGAAGTGGAAGCCGTTTTCTTTGCAAAGGATCCAACACGAGAGAAAATGGCTTTGGTACGACAAAAAACGAGCTGGAATTCGCAAACAGTAGCTTCAGATCTCAAAGTCAACAACAGAATGGCTATTCAGAAATCTTTAATGGGATTGAGTTCAAAGAAGACAACAGTGGCTGAAATTTTTAACAATGCACGGGACAGAAGAACCCGCCATTTTAGAATTATGCTTAAAAATCCTTTGTTAAACGCTGAAAATGAAGAAGCTGAGAAAGACAGAAAGAAATCGATCATTGTAGTACCTCCTGGTATGACCAGATGGAAGTCTCTTGCTGTTGCTACCAAAGTAGCTTCGTCATTCAAACCAAAAGAAGAGAAACGACCCGCTACTACAGCTGTACATCTCTACAAACACCAGAAAAAGATGGTCTCCAAGCAGGACGCTAAACCGTCCACCAAAGCTACCAGGACAACGATGACAAGGCCCCATGTAAAGTCGGAATCCGAGTCGCTGTCAAAGCCAGAAAGTGCCCCTATCAAACAGCATCTCAGAGTAACCATCACTTCACCTAGTGGTGCAGACAAGAATGTGCCACTGCAAACAAAAATCAATAAAAAGGGTAGCGATGATCATTCTGAACTTTTCCATCGAGTAAAACATTTTCCAAAAGGTCAAGACAGTAAACCTTTAAATCGATCTTCAACATCAATGTCAAATCGAGAGGACATCCCACTTCATCTCTCTGACAGAGATATGACGGATATGATACGAAAGATGGTGGAGGCAGATAATGATAGCCGAAGCGAAGCCCCGGATGTTAAGAAAAGGAAAGGAGGAAATCGATTGCAGAAAACTCCGACAGCAGACAATTTATCTGAAACGGATTCTATATACTTTGGCAACGTACGGCGTCTTCTGTCTAGCAATCAGGCTCGACAAATCATTAAAGACCTGAAGAGGCGGGATCAAGAATATGATGACGCGATGCTAAACATGAGACGCAGGGTCGCTATTGGAGCACAAGGTCACAACTTCATGAGACGCCCCAACAGCGTGGCAGGTTTTAGATAGTCCAGGAATTTATGAGCGTTTCAAGATCCACATAGTCACAGAAATTCAAGAGACTCTCCTTCAAGAGCATGGCAACATTCAGATAATAAAAGAATTATGTCAAAAAATTACAATGTAAACTGTGCCAGCTGTTCTCAAAGGAGATTTAAAAATAACGATATCTTGTATGCCACGATTCTATTCACAGAGTCGAATACATTAAAAGCTTGAATATATTTCCACGATGCTAAAATTCACCTTTTCCTCCTGAGTTTTATTTAATGACATAAAAAATAGGGAGTGATTATCTATAAGACGGTTATTACAATAAATTTCTTTTGTGAATTTAAAATCGACTTTTGAACACAATTTTAAAAGGACTTCATAAGTCGCAAGATTTAAATGGCTTTAATGAATTACTTCTTTTTTCAAAATTCGTTTTGATGGCGTTCTAAAATTGATGTTAATGTATCCTTTCCACTTGACCGAAATTGATGACTCGATATAACAGAAGAGTAGACAAAGAATTTAATTTGATTTAAAGTAGCTTGGAATGTTTTACATAGCTTTCTGTGTTAAATTTTCTCCAAATCACAGGGGGAAAAAACCGCTTCATTTGTTAGTTCAAATTTAAACAAGTTAAATTTTGGAGTTTATTACATTTCAACAGTGAAATACTGTAATTTATCAGTTACTTAAAAGTGACTTTTTACAGGTGTTATTTCTCAGAATGTTGAAAATAAGTGTTTTTTCACGGTGTAAAAATACATTCGCGGTAAAAACCATTGCTTTGAAAATTAAAATAAAATACTTCCTACAGATAATGAGATAAATAAACCATCCTGACGTTGACCAAAATAGCCAAAGTTTTTTGTTTGTTTGTTAGCTCTACTGGTCAGAGACCAGAAGAGCTTATGCGATAGTAATGTGTCCGTCGTCCGTCCGTCTGTCTGTCTGTCCGTCCGTCTGTAAACAATTTTTCAAAATGCTACTCCTCCTACAGTTTTGGTCTGATTTCAATATGACTTGGCACACAAGTAGACTACACTAAGATACATAATTCTGTGTATCGGTTTTTGATTTCGATGAACGGTGTTGCCATGGTTACTAAAAATAGAAATTTCTGTGAAAAACATTCAAAATGCTACTTCTCCTACAGTTTTGATCTGATTTCAGTATAACTTGGCACACAAGTAGACTATACTAAGATGCATAATTCTGTGTATCGGTTTTTGATTTCGATGAACGGTGTTGCCATGGTTACTAAAATAGAAATTTCTGTGAAAAACATTCAAAATGCTACTCCTCCTACAGTTTTGATCTGATTTCAATATAACTTGGCACACAAGTAGACTACACTAAGATACATAATTCTGTGTATCGCTTTTTGATTTCAATGAACAGTGTTGCCATGGTAACTAAAAATAGAAATTTCTGTGAAATACTTTCAAAATGCTGCTCCTCCTACAGTTTTGATCTGATTTCAATATAACTTGGCACACAAGTAGACTACACTAAGATACATAATTCTGTATATCGGTTTTTGATTTCGATGAACGGTGTTGCCATGGTTACTAAAAATAGAAATTCCTGTGAAAAACATTAAAAATGCTACTCCTCCTACAGTTTTGATCTGATTTCAATATAACTTGGCACACAAGTAGACTATACTAAGATGCATAATTCTGTGTATCGGTTTTTGATTTCGATGAACGGTGTTGCCATGGTTACTAAAAATAGAAATTTCTGTGAAATACTTTCAAAATGCTACTCCTCCTACAGTTTTGATCTGATTTCAATATAACTTGGCACACAAGTAGACTACACTAAGATACATAATTCTGTATATCGGTTTTTGATTTCGATGAACGGTGTTGCCATGGTTACTAAAAATAGAAATTTCTGTGAAAAACATTCAAAATGCTACTCCTCCTACAGTTTTGATCTGATTTCAATATAACTTGGCACACAAGTAGACTATACTAAGATACATAATTCTGTGTATTGGTTTTTGATTTCGATGAACATTGTTGCCATGGTTACTGAAAATAGAAATTTCCTTGAAATACCTTCAAAATGCTACCCCTACAGTTTTGGTCTGATTTTAGTATTACTTAGCATACAAGTAAACTACACTAAGATACATAATTCTCTGTACCAGTTTCGGATTTCGATGAATGGTGTTGCCATGGTTACTAAAAATAGAAATTTTCTTGAAATACTTTCAAAACGCTACTCCTCCTACACTTTTTGTCTGATTTCAGAATAATGTGGCATACAAGTAGACTACAGAGATACATAATTGGTGTTATTGTTTTTTGATTTTGTTGAATGATGTTGCCATGGTTACTTAAATCAAAATTTCAGTAAAATTGTTTTAAAAGGCTACTCCTCCTACAGTTTTAGTCTGATATAATAATAAATCTTGCCAAAAAGAGACTAAACCAAGGATCATTATTCTATTTATTGCTGTTGAAAAGTTTCAAGTCCAAGTGCTACTTTTATCTTCCTTTATAAATACAACCAGTAGAGCTACAGTCTCATCAGAGACTTCTGGTTTTTTATTGTTGTTAAAATTGTTGTTGAAATCCAAGTTTAAAATAGCGCTTAGCTATAACATCATACCTTACTCCACTGCATTGAGAAGAAGCAACTAAAAGGCGATTAGGGGCATAAGGAAAACCAAACAAAATATAATTAGCAGAGAATTCACTGATGATTTGCAGTTGGATATGGAATTCGTTTTACTTGTAAGACATAATATTTTTTTAAATTTTCACTCGTGTTTCGCATTTGTCTTCGTACTCGTGAAAATACATTAAAAAATTTGTCCCACTAATGAAAGAGAATCCATGTATGCAACTACAAAAGAAAACCCTGAATATCCTCAATAAATTACAGACCGTATGGATATTGCTATAAATAAATTTATTTTAACTTAACCGTTGAAAATAAATGGACAGTAATATTCAATAGGAATTAAAGGTGATGTCATTTAAAATAAATGCATTGCACATGCAGACTACTGTTTCCAAATGTTGGTAAAATTACTGATGTCGTTAACTGGAGTTAATTCCCTTTTGCCTAAGGTAAGAACAAGTTTGCAACGTTGACCACCATTTGGTCTGATAACTATCTTCCTCCCCAAGATCACGTAGGGCAAGTTCTTTTGCTTTCATTAACCCTGCTGTAGAAACAGTTTTTAGCCATTTCTCTAGTTTCATTTTCTCTTTCTCAAAGTCTGACTTTCCGTCGTCTTGGTTTTGTGAATCATGTGTCGGAAGATCCTGTTTTATTGCAGTGAATACATTTCCCTTCCCAGGAGCAATGCTACCTAAAAGTGTCCTCTCTTTCTGAGACATGGTCCACTGACCAGGGTCAGTCGTCCTTGGCCGAATGTCACGTGCTGCTTCCACCACTGGACTATGCGTCGTTAAACACTGGGCGGTGTTCAGATTTCTTCGGTTGGTGATTTCTGCCAGACGAACGATCCAAGGGCTAGCGCGAGATCCGACGTGATCTTGCTGAGCGCTTTGTTTCCGGTGAGAATAAAATTCTTCTGGGTGCTCCTGAACGTATTTGAGATAATGAAGAAGAGGCTGATAATCCACACGAACGTCGTCCTCATCGTCACCAAGGACCTTCTTCTTTTGTCGAGAAATTTTTCTAGAACTTGTAGGCTTGTTCGGAGACGTCTGTGCCTCTTGTAATTTTGATATCACTGTGTCATCCTCATCCTCGTTTTTGTCAGTTACACTCTTCGTGTCCACATCACACTCACTTTTATTGTCCTGAGTTGTATCTTGGTTTTCCTCTCTAGCCACTGTATTCTCTGTAACTTGTTCTTCTGGGACAGGGTTTTCGAGCTGGTGACGTTTTTCTCTCATTTCTCTCTCCTTTCTAATCTTTTCGGCAACTCTTTGTTTCATTTGCTCCATTCTGTTCGTGGTCTCAGCAGTTTCTAAGCCAGCGTCTTTCAGGGCTTTATCATGACAATCAAAAAAGCTCTTCCTTGGCAAGTACCACTCCAGCTCGGCCTTCGTGAACTTGAACGGGTCACTTTGGGACCTACTCACTTTTGACTTCGGTCTTTCCACTGCGGAATGTGATCTCCTTAGATCCTGTTTTTCTTTAAAAGATTTTTTGTCCTCGACACAAGAAAATGAATGTCTGCTAGATCTTCTAGGCGAAGAGATGAACGAACCACTGGATCTCCTTAGTTGCATACTTTTTTCTTTATTTGAAAACTTTTTGTACGAGCTCCTGCTGGAATTCCTAGTTTCCGCTCTCTCCTCGCTTTCTTCTACTATCGTTCTAAGGTCGTTCCTATTGCCTTTCATTTCCATAGTATCGTTCAAATCCTTCGATTCTGGCGAGAAGCAAGCCTTCTTTTCTGCTGCGCTATCCACTTCGTTACCATCTGAATCTGTTTTAATATCAGTATTTTTGTTTTCTGTGTATGTCATGAACTGAGTTTCTAAGGAAATTTTACTCCTTTCTTCTTGATGTATATCACCCTTTAAAATCTCTCCTGCACTTAAATTTTCACTGTCGTTTATCCCTGAATGCTCTGTCGCCTGCTTGGATTCACTGATTGAAACATTAATTTTATTGGGTTGGCTCTCTTCAGTTATTGCCACTTCACTGATACTATTGTCCAGTTGGTCAGATTCATTTATGTCCAGATCGTCGCTGCTGGAACCTCTCTCTAGAGGAGCCGCTGGAATAACAATGGTTTGTTTATTTATTTCGGAATGATCTCCAGAATTTCTCCGAGATACCTTTGTCTTTTCTGTGCCAGAATTCCCATCGCGCTGTTTTGTTTGTTTTAAATGTCTACGAGGACAATCTACTTCTGCCTTCTTTTGTTTCATGGCTGTCACTTTATACCTTCCTTCTTAAATCCAGCTCAAGTTCCTTTGTTTAGTGTTCCTCTGTTTTCATTAATATTCATAACTCACGTTGTATCCAATTGTGAATTGTCCCAGTCCAAACAGTAACTGACAATACCACTATTGTCCTTCCAAAAATAATTACTCCTCTGTGAAAATTCTTGCGCTGTTTAAAGTTTACGGGTTTAGGGTTATTATCAGATGAAATCTATCCATATAAGTCCGTGTTTATACTGGAGATATTGGTGGGAGATAAATGTCTTGTGTCGTAACACTTTCCCACGTCAGTTATTCTGCTAGATCTCTTCAATCACCATTTCTCCTCACGGCACCGGGAAATACCCTTCTTTTGAATATACCCGGCTCTTCACTTTTTTTATTAACAGAACAGCTCTTCTCAAACGCTTGGTAAACTGAAAAAATAAAAAGTTCTCAATTGTTTGTTTTCTTTGGTAATTGGTTTAAAATTGTGGAGTTAAAAGTGTTTGATTTAGTTACGATTATATAAATAACGGAGTCATAAACAGGCGTATTTTGGCGATTAAATCTTGTCATTTGAAACATAAATTGGAGTTATTTTGACATTTAAAATGAGAGTCGCCTGGACGATAATGTCTTTTATAAATATTTACCTACACTGTGTTAAATGGTTTGTTGTAGACAAAATGGAATACTTCAAACCTACAGAAATAAAACCAAGTAGTAAGATCTAGATTAAGGAAATACTTATACATAATGAGTTTGCCAAATTCCTGAACTTGCTAAATATCTCTATCAGCAGATATTTTATTTGTTTCCTCAAAATTAAAGACCACGGAGAATTTTCAAATCAAATTGTTTAAAACACCATGAAAACTTGAATACAAGAAACTTGTAGATAAATCAATTTCGTGTTCGTGTCATATTCTAAAAATGTAGAATAGTCTTCCAAAAGTTTTCGTATATGCATTTCTGTGCTTGGCTTTTTGTAAAGTTTTACGCAAAATAAATTGAATTGCACTGTAAGGATTATGTGTCCCTTCTGAAATATAAATGTCTCCGGGAAAATGTTTCGGTGAATTGATAAATAAAAGTTTATAAATTTTATGATTTCTGAAAGACATTCTGATTTTAATTTATTATAAAAATTTCCTTTCGGATTTTTCCTTAATGTAAAAAGAAAATCATTATAAACTTACTTCGATTTCTATTTGTTCCTTGGGTTTCAGTATCACTTTTAACTAATGAGTGACCCGAATCTCAGTTTAAATTACAGATTATTTACCAAATGGAATACAAGACGGAACTGGTCAACGTCCCTGACACTTTAAATATCCACGGGGAGTTAATTATTTCACTTCTTGTTGTGGGGCGAATCAAACACTTCAGCACGGAACGTCAAATTAAAGTCAATAACAGATTTATTTTTTCTCAATAAAAGTCATTTCACGGTTGTTATTTTTAAAATGAATTGTTAAAGAAAGGTAATCTTAGACAAGACCTGGATTTCGACCGACTTCAACAAATTCTAGATCTTATCAGAGATTATATGTTAATTTTTAAAAGAAAATATATAATCTTCACTTGTTTTTCTCTGATCGAATCGTATACTTAGGAGAATGAGATTTCTGTCAAAGCAGTTGGTTTCCTACATCTATAGAACAAAATCAAATTTTTTTTGAGACACTTTAAAATGAAAAGTCAAATACCATGACTGCACTTTGAAGAAGATTTCTTGCAATTTTACACATATATTTCATTATTTACAATAAATTTAACTTAATAATTATTTGAGTGAAGTCGGTGCAAAATATCAAAAAGTTATTTAAACTGAACAAATATCGATCACAATCCTATTGATCTATAGAGCATTGAAAAGTAGCAATTTTCTGAAGAAATTGCGCAAAGCTAAACTTTTTGTACGAGAAGAGAAATTAAAGCATGAAATTATTTCTCGTACATTGACCCCAAACTTCGTTAAAATTCAATAAAAAAAAACTTGGCCTTACCTCAATCATAAAATATTAAGCTCCTATATTTACTTATTTTTGCCAGTTCTCTGAACTTTTATATAATCCCATATAACAGAAATCTAAGGTACACTGTCTGTTTGAACAATGTATAGTTATCTGGGATTGGGCTGTTAGAATTAATTCCTTGGCACGTCCGAACCCTCAATTTGTCATCGATCTCCCTCAAGGACCTGACAAGTTATGATCAAATTTTACTTATCGGCAGAGAACAGTCAGAAAAAGCACGTCTAATACAAAAAGTCGACCTAGTCCTGTCGATTTATCAGATGGATTTAAAAAAAAAAAAATGCTTGCCTCGCCAGGGTTTAATTAAGAAATCTTGTATGCACTCCAGAAAGTTTTGAAGACCTAGGGAGGGGCTCTCAATGAGTATGCTTGTAGTGTCGTATATTTCCCTGACTTTTAATAAAGAACTTATTTATGCGTTAATATAACTGAGTGTCAATATCGACATGATCTTTCCACCCCTCAATTACAGTGTAAGAGCAACTCCGAAAAATGGAAAAATTGTGAGAATTTACTTCATTGCCAATATATTGTGTGGAACGCTATATTTTGGTCACATTGGTTAAATTAAGTTATACACGTGTACTAGCACTATCTGTATGCCAATATTAATTAGGGCCCTGCATCAAAATTTGATTGTTATATAATAGTCACTTTGTCTATCTGTCTATCCTGCAACACTTCTGAGCAATAACACTGGTATAAACTTTATGTTTTTCTTTATTTCATAGGCTTTTAGAGCCACTTTATCGAAGGTCAAGGTTACATGTACTATTTTTATGACATTTACATATTACACATTATGCAATAACTCAATTTTTTAAAGTTGCATAGTTTATATCACTAAATATAAGTAGAAAGATACGTATAAGATATTAAGATTAATATATTGTTAAGTCATTTGGTCAAGGGTCAAGGCCATAGATTTGGATACTTGTTGTGATCATTATAATGCAATAAATTTAATGGATACTTTTATAATCTGACTACTTTACACATTAATATTTTGCAATAAATAAGGACACCTATAGATTCTGAGATCATTCAGGCAAAGGTAAATGTCAAAATTACATATTTCCCCCAAAATACACAACCTTTTACCACGTTATGAATATGAGGTCTGTGGTTCGATATAATATTTTATACATAGATTCATATTTTGTCAAATAAAATGTTAGAAAAGAATTTGATGCCGGCATATTTTCGCTGCCAGAGGCTTAGTTGTTTGTTTGGTTGCTTGTTTTTTTTTTTGTTTTTGTTTTTGTTTTTTGTTTTTTTTTTTTTTATTTTTCATTTTTTTTTTTTTATTTTTTATTTTTTTAAAAAAGGCAAAGGTAAAGATCAAAAGACCTGAAAAATATCGTCGCGTGGGCCTTTATCACTTTGCTAATTTTTTTTCAGAGTTGCTTCACTCATCAGACTTGAATACATTTTAGTTTTCATTCACTGTTTTTATGCCCCTGGATCGAAAGATCCCGGGGGAATATTGTTTTTGTCCTGTCTGTCTGTTTGTCTGTTTAGCTGTTTGTCTGTCTGTTTTCAACTTTAACCTTGCCCATAACTTTTGATTGGTTGGAGCTATGACTTTCATATTTCACATGTGTATTCCTTGTGACAAGACCTTTCTTTGGGTACCATTATATTTGAGCTTCTGACCTAGACCTTGGAGTTTGACCCACTTTTGCAAAATTTTATGAGACTTTAACCTTGACCATAACTTAAGATCAGTTGGTGCTTGGGGTTTCAAACTTCACATGTGGATTTCTTGTGACAAGGTCTTCCTTTTGATACCAACAACTTTGACCCTTAGACCTTGACCTAGGAGTTTGACCTACTTTTGAAAAACTTTAACCTTGGCCATAACTTTTGAATGGTTGGTGCTAGGGCTTTCATACTTCACATATGTAATCCTTGTGACATCACCTTCCTTTGGATACCAACCACTTTGACCCTTTGACCTTGACATAGGAGTTTGTCCTACTTTTGAAAATCTTTAACCTTGGCCATAACTTTTGAATGGTTGGTGCTAGGGCTTTCATACTTCACATATGTAATCCTTGTGACAAGATCTTCCTTTGGATACCAACCACTTTGACCTTGACCATGACGTTTTACTTACTTTCAAAAAAAAATTAACCTTCTCCATAACTTTTGAACAGTTGCAGCTAGGTCTTTCAAATTTCACAGGTATATTCCTCGAGACAAGACCTTTCTTTGGGTACCAACATTTTTTATCTTTTGGCCTGGATTTTGACATGCATTTGAGAAACTTTAACCTTCGCCATAAGCTGCCATACGGGGCATCAGTGTTTCACAAACACATCTAACTTGTTTTTTTTTTTTTTTTTTTTTTTTTTTTTTTCAATTTACATATTGTATCCATTGCCACGGTATTTTTGGTATATGCATGTCAAAGGTACACCACAAATAATAATTCGCCTTTTCTTACTGGCTGCGGGGACACTTGGTCAATAAAAATATATTTCAGGAATATATACACTAAAACTAAATGAGTTGGATAAAGCAACCTTTTTACTGCAAATATGGTTTGAGTCAGAGATTGAGAAACGAACGATAACTCTGCTCACTGTTCAGATAGTACTTTGGATCTTCAACATTAGAGACGGAAACAGTCTATAAAAATAAAGTGAAAGTAGAATTTCTTGTAAACATTCGGTATGGCGTCTCGAAGTTTATCAGGTAATTTATTTAAAAGACACTCAAAACATTTTTTCCTCGGCTCTCTAGTGTGGCGAGTTGTTTGTTTTGATTACCCTTATCAAAACAAGATGATTCAATTGTTATTTTTAGGATACAAAGTACATGTGAATTTCATTGAAAAAGAATGAAACACAACCTGACCACACTCGCGTTGTGTAGTTCATTGATTTTCAGTACACTTTTGCTATTTTGATTAATTATACCGGTGCTTTGTAGATTCGGACTCAGAACCCGATGATGCACTACACATTGGATTTAACAATGATGAACCAGACTCTGACCAACCTCCCACGAAAAAGAAAAAAGTGGAGAATGCGGGCTTGTACAACGCTTTCTCAGCCAGGATGATGGTTGGTTACAGAGCATCAGTGCTGCTGTCATTTTGATATAATATTTTACCATTGCAATATAATTTTGATACAATACAGTGCATATTGTTTATTTTTAAATATATGTCATCAGGGACGTACACTATATATTGCATATAGGTCCCTGATGTTATGCATTCATTACCTTGCACATGTAACAGGTGTGAAACTTACATGTACATGAACAGAAATATTAGATAATAAATAATGAATAAAATTCACAACTACTTAACATTTAACAAAGCATGAATTAGCTTTCCATATGGCAAAATTAGAATTACATTACAGCATTACTGTACACTATTTAATCTTATTTTTTAACAGGCAAAGATGGGCTACAAGGAAGGCCTAGGTCTCGGTAAGGAGCAACAGGGACGAGTAGAAATCGTGGAGGCTTCCAACCAGAGAGGGAGGCGGGGTCTGGGTCTAAAGATCAAAGGACTGGAACCATCGCAGGAAGTGGACTGGGAATTTGAGACAGAAGAGGTTTTATTCAGTTTTTTTTTCATTTTTTTTGTAACATGTTTAAGTAAGCTCTTAGTAAACTAGGTCCGTAATTTTGCTTTAGAGTAAAATACAATGTTTTATTGTCCAGACAATTATGCCTTTTTTTTAATCTAAAAGATAACAGTAATTTAAATGTATTAAAGTAATAAAATTTTTATATCTACTGCATGATTACCGTATATTTTAAATTTTCAATTTAATTTTAAGATTATTGAAAAAGAAGATGTATCTTGGATTCCAACTTGTGCTGAACCTGTTCCCAGCATTGAAATATTGAGAGGATGGAAACATATTGGACAGGTGGAAATTAGTTTTAAAATGTGTATTTTTAAATAATTATTTGCCTGTTAATAATGAGGAACACAAAACCCATGACAATGTAAATGGCTGAATATAAAGTATCCTGGTATATTTATTCATATTTCAGAAAAAATTAACTATAGATGATGAGGCAGAATTTTGTGATGAAGATGTTCTATCAGCTATTTTAAACAGCAAGGTAAGATTATTATCAGAATGTATGTAACAGCTTGGACACATAATGATTGCAAAAATGTGCTTCCAATATTTTACAGCGAAGGTTCTGTCAGTGGTAAGCAAATAACCATAAAGCACTAGAGAAAAGAAAATACTTTTGATGGCCTGTAGATATATACATTTAAATGATATACTGGGCACATTATAGAATAGGTAAAAAAAGTCTTTCTCATGCTGAAATAAAATCTTGTGTATAAGACAAATCTCTCTTTTAAGCATTGCAATTTTGATATGAATGATCTTTTGATGAAGTTTACTTTAAAGTTGTATCTTTTCAATGCTAGAATGTCTTTGATGAGTTGGAGCCAGAGGAAATGAGAAGAGCTCGAACACGATCAAATCCATATGAAACAATCAGAGGCGTGTTTTTTCTCAACCGGTAAGTCATGTTCACAGAGCAGCTCTCTGAAGATTATTTATCTTTATTATAAAGTTGTCTTTTTTTTTTTTATTACAAGCTTCATTTTTCTTATTTTTGAATCTTCATTCTGTATGATCGCAAAAGTAAAATATGATGTTTTGCAAAATATGTATAGTAAATTAATTTGTACTAATTAATATTTTGTCCTGATAAAGTCAATTTCATAAAAAAGATAATCTAACAAAAATATTTCAATTTTTTTTTTCCAGAGCAGCTGTCAAAATGGCTAATATGGATTCAATGTTTGATTTCATGTTTACTTCACCAAAGGATACCAGTGGTGTAAGGTTTTGCCTCAATAACACTTTAATATGACATATACACGTATAACAAAACTCTATTTGATGTACCTTACTCAAAATTTACATGTAGTTCATTAAATATTATCTCTGCATACAAGAGACCCATGCTGAAGCCATCAGATATCTTGTTTTTTGCTGATATCTGTGCTGGTCCTGGTGGATTTAGTGAGTATGTTCTATGGAGAACCAAAGGAGATGCCAAAGGCTTTGGGTTTACCCTGAAAGGTCCATGTGACTTTAAGCTGGAGGATTTCTTTGCTGGTCCCCCTGAAATGTTTGAGCCTCACTATGGTATGAATACTAGTATTTTTTGTATTAATTTTGTTTCAGTTTTTAAATAAAGTTTATCTTTTAGAATTTGAAAAAAAGTGGTAAATGTTTGTATAAATTATATTCCTTTTTACCTGTCCTAGAACTGTTGTTGATATTTTAACAGGTGTGGGAGGGATTGAGGGGGATGGGGATATTTTTAAACCTGAGAACCAGGAAGAGTTTATCAAATTTGTCAAAGAAAACACGGACAACAAAGGTGTCTACTTTGTGATGGCAGATGGGGTATGTTTCCTTATTTTTTTACTTTTACATTCATAACCCGATAACTCCTGTAATCATGTGTTATCAAAATCATTATGTGATGTTAAGCCTCTTGCTTTGCTTGTAGAATGCCTTTATGGAGTCCACTTCTGTTTGAATTATGGTGCTGGTTCTTGATCCGGTAACTATTTCTGAAGACAATCAATTCTGTTTTTCAGGGGTTCTCAGTTGAAGGACAGGAAAACATTCAGGAGATTTTGTCCAAACAGCTTTATCTCTGTCAGTTTTTAGTAGCCATATCCATTCTCAGACCAGGTATGAAATACTATATAATCTGTTAAAAATGCAACAATTTAATTCACCTTTATAGATTGTTGTGCATCAGTATTTTTTATTCAGTCATGATAAAACTGAGTTTTTGAAGTGTGTGTGTTGACATTTTGACATCTTTACAGGTGGTCACTTCGTGTGTAAGTTATTTGACCTCTTCACCCCATTCAGTGTTGGGTTAATCTACCTAATGTACAGAATATTTCACAAAGTCTGTATATGTAAACCAGTCACCAGCAGGCCAGCAAACTCTGAGAGGTAGGTTGAAAATACTCTGCATGCTGGAAAGTTTTTCCATGTGTTGGCCAAAAACATTTTTTTTAAAAGTATTATTCCATTTTAGAATAACTGAAAACCATTTCTGAAGAGTTACAGTTTATTTCACCCATTAACATTGGGGTTAGAAGGAAGATTGAAAAGACATCAAATTTTCTTCATATACAGTAGTGAAAAATTTGAAATTAGTTATTAAATTATTATTATTAGTTATAAATTACACAATTGCTTATTATGTATGAATGTACTTCTCCATGGTAACAGGTATATAGTTTGCCAGGGTCTCCGTGGCGATAGTGACCCAGTCAGACAATACATGCATGAGATCAACCTAGATTTAAATCGTCTCCAGGTTTCTACGTCAACACAAGATGTCTGTGGGATAGTCCCTATGGAGGATCTCCATGCTGATCAGTGTTTCTTTAATTATATGTACGAATCCAATGTAAAGTAAGTCAAATCTTTAAATCATAACGATTAGAATAGTAAACTGATATTTTGTTTCGGAATCTGATTTTTTTGCATTAAAATGTTCTATTTACTCGAAGATTAAGTTTTTTTTAAAATTGTATTTAATAAATCCCTTTTTGATGAATTCTATTGTTTTTCTTTCAGACTTGGTAAGATGCAGATTTCAGGCTTAAAGAAAATTCAAGCCTTTGTTCAAAACTCGTAAGTATTATGATCTTTCCTGGAAGCTCCTTGATGAAATAGACCCTGACAACATGTACAGTAGTACGAGATATTAAATTTGATGTGTGTTTGTTTACAGACAGCTGTACGAGACCAGACAGGCAGATGTGAGGAGTGATTGTCTAAAGAGATGGAATGTGAGTACAAAACTGGATGAGAAGCAATTTTACTACTGAGTTAAGCTGAGGAAGTTTGCCTTATAAGCACTTGTCCTCATATTATTCTCTTCATTTTCAGCTCCCAGATGAAGTGAGGAAAGCTCCCACAAAATCAAATCCCAAAGTCAAGTTTGAGGCTCTCACTGAGGTAAATAATCCCCCTATTAGTTTTGCCCTTGTTGCCCTTGTTGCAAGTGGATGAATTTAAAATGGGGCGAATTATAAGTAAACAGTAATACCTGTTAAACAAAACTGTCTCTGGGCAAGTTAAAAATTGTTTCCAATTGTGAAAGGGTGAAAATAACCCTATATACAGTATTTCCTAATCAGTGTATAACAACTAATTGAATTTTTCACCTGTATATTTGGTCAGTTGTGTCTTGCATGATGCATTGATTTACATTGATTTTGTTTTTTCCCAGGGTGATGATGTGGATTTTGTTTCGCACACAATTGAAGATCTTTGTCCCGACACACTCACAAATATCAAGACTCCATATAATTATCGCTGTTATGTTATTGGAAACCAAGAACGAAAACGATGGTATCTTCTAGGTCTAGGGGTATGTGCTGTTCCTACTAATAGATGTACATTGTATGTTTTACTAATTATAAGTAGCTATAGATCTTAATAATAATTAAATTAAGTACTCTTTATTTCATTATGGACAGAGGTCACATGTGTTCAAATGGGATGGAAATCCGTACTCAAGATGGAGGAAATTAGAGGAAGATAACATTCGAGTTGAACTCCCGACAGATACACTGATAGAGGTGGAAATTGTGCAGGAGATGAAAGGGGAGGTAAGTCAAATAGAACTCCTGACAGATACACTGATCAAGGTGGAGATTGTACAGGAAATGAAAGGGGAAGTAAGTCAAATAGAACTCCCGACAGATACACTGATCAAGAGATTGTACAGGAAATGAAAGGGGAGGTAAGTCAAATAGAACTCCCAACAGATACGCTGATCAAGGTGGAGATTGTACAGGAAACGAAAGGGTAGGTAAGTCAAATAAAACTCCCAAAAGATACACTGATCAAGAGATGGTACAGGAAATGAAAGGGGAGGTAAGTCAAATAGAACTCCCGACAGATTCACTGATGGAGGTGGAGATTGTACAGGAGATGAAAGGGGAGGTAAGTCAAATAGAACAACTGACAGATTCACTAATAGAGGTGGAGATTGTACAGGAGATGAAAGGGGAGGTAAGTCAGATAGAACTCCCAAAAGATACGCTGATAGAGGTGAAGATTGTAAGGAGATGAAAGGGGAGGTAAGTCAAATAGAACTCCTGACAGATACACTGATCAAGGTGGAGATTGTAGAGAAAATGAAAGGGGAGGTAAGGCAAATAGTCAAAATTCAAGGCATCCAGAAAGTGTTTTGAATGGAAAATTTTGATTGGACGTGTATTAATTATTATGTTTGTGTACATACAGGGATCAGGACAAAGAAGAATGATGACCTTACATGCCCTGGATGCCATGTTTCTGTATGGTAAAGATGTCCGCAGTTTGACTTTCAGAGACAGGTAGGATATTATCAATCCTTTAGCCTGAAATTAAAACTACAGTTTTTCATTCTGATGCAATGTTTTATCAAATTGTTTATTACCAGTAGTTTATTTGGGATAGGCAGATCCATGGTTGTAATTGACATGTAACTGAGTTTTATATTTTGATGTGTGATGTAATATTTGTTTTTTAGAGTTGAGAAGCTGAGGAAGTTTTTACAGTGTATTACCAAACCGACCCGACCCAATCTGACCCAGATCATTGTCCCGTACATCTATAGGCTGGAGGAGGTGCACCAGGTGTTTGACAGGTGAAGGGGAACCAATTAATAAAACACTCCTACTATGAAACATACTAATTATTTTACATATTCATGTCAATAATTTCTTTAGTTGTCTTCTTTGATGTTTTTCTAGAGAATATGAATAAAAACTCTAATAAAAATGATATTCTGGTTAAAATAGGAATAAAATTTATATTTTGGTTAAAATTGGTTTTGGTTTATTAATAATTCATAAGTTTCATCTTTGGACTGCTTTATCTTAACAGATTGGAGTTTCGGCGAGTTAAAGGCTCAGCTAATCCCAGGCTGTGTTACAGTCCACCAGACAGAATGGATGGACGGTGCTTCCTGCCGTCTGGACTCTGTATCATAAAAATTGTCAAAGGTACCAAGCTTTTATTGCTACAATAACACATATATTACTCTTCCATGGCACTTGATTCCACACCTGATGTTTTCAGAGGTCCGTGTTTGCTCTGCTCTCAATTGGTATTGTCTATTTAAACTTTTGAGCATTATTACTGTTCCATATATTCACATTTTATTCATTACATTATAAGTGTTTTTAACCTAAATATTCTTTCCCATTTTGCTTGGAAGTGAAAGCAAATCAAGGAATGTTAATCCATGTGAATATTTTTTATCCTGCTTTGTTCCATTTTTTGCATATTTTTTATCCTGCTTTGTTCCATTTTTTGCAGATCCATGGACAATGGCTTTAAGTAAATCAGCCAATCAAAAGTACTTTTACAACATACACACAAAGGAGTCCACATTCCACTGTCCTCCATCAAGTGTGGCACACTGCAGGTTTGTTACAGATAATGTGTAATAAAATATCAATTATCACACAATTCAGGTCTGTTACGGATAACATGTGTAATAAAATATCAATTATCACACAATTCAGGTCGGTTACAGATAACATATGTAATAAAATATCAATTATCACACAATTCAGTTCTGTTACAGTTAACATGTGTAATAAAATATCAATTATCAAACAATTCAGGTCTGTTACAGATAATGTGTAATAAAATATCAATTATCACACAATTCAGGTCTGTTACAGATAACATATGTAACAAAATTTCAATTATCACACAATTCAGGTCTGTTACAGATAACATATGTAATAAACTATCAATTATCACACAATTCAAGTCTCTTACAGATAACATATGTAATAAACTATCAATTATCACACAATTCAGGTCTGTTACAGATAACATGTGTAATAAAATATCAATCATCACACAATTCAAGTCTCTTACAGATAACATATGTAATAAAATATCAATTATCACACAATTCAGGTCTGTTACAGATAACATATGTAATAAACTATCAATTATCACACAATTCAGGTCTGTTACAGATAACATATGTAATAAACTATCAATTATCACACAATTCAGGTCTGTTACAGATAACATATGTAACAAAATTTCAATTATCACACAATTCAGGTCTGTTACAGTTAACATGTGTAATAAAATATCAATTATCAAACAATTCAGGTCTGTTACAGATAATGTGTAATAAAATATCAATTATCACACAATTCAGGTTTGTTACAGATAACATGTGTAATAAAATATCAATTATCACACAATTCAGGTCTGTTACAGATAACATATGTAATAAACTATCAATTATCACACAATTCAGGTCTGTTACAGATAACATATGTAATAAACTATCAATTATCACACAATTCAGGTCTCTTACAGATAACATATGTAATAAAATATCAATTATCACACAATTCAGGTCTGTTACAGATCACATGTGTAATAAAATATCAATTATCACACAATTCAGTTCTGTTACAGATAACATATGTAATAAAATATCAAGTATCACACAATTCAGGTCTGTTACAGATAACATGTGTGATAAAATATCAATTATCACACAATCCAGGTCTGTTACAGATAACATGTGTAATAAAATATCAATCATCACACAATTCAGGTCTGTTACAGATAACATGTGTAATAAAATATCAATTATCACACAGTTCAGGTCTGTTATATATTACATTTGTAATAAAATATCAAGTGTGACACACTGCAGGTTTGTTACAGATAACATGTGTAATGTGCAATCTGCCACTGATAAAAAATACAATAAATACAATCAAATGAGGCACACTGCAGATCTTTTATAGATTACAAATGTAATACTATATCAAGATTACATACAGTATTTAATAAAATATCTAGTGGCACATTGATAAAGATTTCATACATGTATATAATAAAACAATTTTTAGGTCTGTTACAAATTATAAATGCAGTATTAGAAATACTGAAAATTGCTTTTTATTTATAATTTTGTTCACAATAACTTTATTTTTGTGTATTTATGCAAGACATTTCCGTTCCCTCATATATTTTTATTATAAAAGATTGTATACAATACTTAACTAGAATTTGTAAAAATTTTGTCTCGCTTATAAGTACAAAATGACCTCACGAATACAGGGTGTTGCAAAAATTTGTTGAACTACAGTATCAAATATGGCACAGATTACAAATGTAATAAAGAATCAAGTATGTCCTAGATTACGAATGTAATTAAATATCAAATAGGTCACATTGCAGGTCAGTGACAGGTTACATACATGTAAAAGGAACCTGACTGTTTACTTAAACACATCATTTATGTAAATTCAATAATACTGTATAAGCCGAGTTTTTAGCAAGGATTCAATTTTGGCATTATTGAGATGTGTTGTCAACTTGAGATTGCTAAAATTGCATATTGCTAACAATTCGCTCAGCACTATGGAGGTAGGGAATATCTTGCAAGATATTGTCAAATCACTGAAATTACTTCTTGCTAAAATTATATTAAGATTTTTAAGGCTAATTCGCTAAAACATCTCGCTGAAAATTCCACTTATGCAGTATTTCATTATTTTTTATACTTTATGAGATAATTGATTTGAATAAATCTTCTTGATCAAATATTTTATCATAATCGCACTGCAGCTGTTTAACTACTGGGGATATTGGCATGTTAGTTTGTTTTTTCCTACAGAATAGCCTTTTTTAATCTGAATCCTATGTTATATAAGCCTAGATCTAGTTTAGTAGCTCACAAGAAACACTGAAAAACTTCTTAAAAGTGGATACTGTTTTCTTTTTTCAGTGATTGCAAGAAATCAAGTTACATTTGGAAATTTGAGGAGGGTGTAAAGATTCATCCAGACCAGACATTCTCAGCCAACCCCAAAAAAATCTCCAAGGACAATTTCTTAGACTACATAAATATGTTGACCCCTCGGTGACCTCTCAGTGGCATTGCTGCCATTTCATCAGCCTCCATTTCACTTCACTCGTATCAGAATCATCAGGAATGTTCAACCTTAATGAACAAAACATTTGTTGTTCTTATACATGTTTGTACTACATACATAAACAATTGTTGATGAATTATGCTACATGTGTTTATCTTTATAATTTTGTTTTTTTATGCTCCCTCAACTGAAGATTAGGGGTGGGGGTATATTGTTTGGCTGTTTGTTCGCTTTTATTAGCTCACCTGAGCTGAATGCTTAAGTAAGCTTTTCTGACCATGTTGTCTGGTGTATGTCTAGCTGTCCATCCGTCTGTCCCTCTGTAAACATTTTACATTTTTGACTTCTTCTCAAGAACCACTGGACCAATTTTAACCAAAGTTGGAATAAAGCATCCTTAGGTTAAGAGGATTCTAAATTGTTCAAATAAAGGTCCCCTGGGATAGGGTAGAGCCACAAAAAGGGATCAAATTTTTATATGGTAAAATATATAAGAAATCTTTTCAAGTACCACAGTACAACCATTAATTTGTTAACATTCTAAGGTTCTGCTGATTATTTTTTTTCAGTGCAAATTATGGACAAGAGGTTAGAGTGGGATATAATCAGGATCAAATTTTATACAATGCAAGTATACAGGTAAAGAATTTTCTTCCCCACAATTGCAAAACCATGTTGTGTTGATGCAGATATGAGTTAGGGTGGGACCATAATATGGTGTCAGAATTTTCCATGGGAATATAAAAATATTTTTTAAAATCTGATGAAAAACAGAAAGGCCAAAGACACCAGATGAGCGTAGTGGCCCATGGGCCTCTTGTAAAAAACTTGCTTAAAAAATTATTTTTTGATAATTAAGCTGATTAGATATATTTTTTTCATAAGTTACTATTTTTTGTGGAGATTCAAATTCGTTCAAATCCTGGGATATATAGGAGGAAAAGTTTTCTAATCTTTTCAATAGCAACTAGAGTGAGACAATGATTAGATATATGCAAGCATCCGCAGGTATAGTGCAGGTTCAAGTTTGTAGGGTGAGGCCACAATAGGGGGATCAAAGTTTTACCTGGAAATATATAAAATAATCCTTTAAAATCTTCTCGGTAACACCTAGACCGCTATTACATGTACAACTTAGTTATATTCAAGTTTGTTCAAGCCATCATCCAGACCGTTCACGGTAGCTCAGTCGGTAGAGCGTTCGCTTCGTGATCGGGAGGTCGTGAGTTCGAATCTCGGCCGCGACTGACCTAAGTCGGTAAAAAATGGGTAGCAACTGTTCCTTCGCCATGCGCTCGGTACTTTGAAGTGAAAGTTGCGGGTCCTTCGGATGAGACCTTAAAAACCGAGGCCCCGTGTCACGGCAGGCGTTGGCACGATAAAGTTCCCTCACTGCTCAATGGCCCTAAGTGCCGAGTAAAGGTCAAAATTTGAAGCCCTTCACCGTATATGGTGACGTCTCTATATGAGTGAAAAATTCTCGAATGGGACGTAAAACAACATACAATCAATCAATCAAGCCATCATCCAATGGGTAGGATTGGATGACAAGAAAGAGAAATTGTTAAACTTAACATTTGTTAAGAGCTAATGTAAAGCCAACAAGTAAGACGTGTCAAGAGTTTTGAAACTGTTAATCAATACCTTTCGTTATTTTTATTTCCATAAATTTATATATAGAAATGTATAAAGTAATCTAAAATAATCATCGAACCCAAATATGGAAGAACATATACAGCTGACAAATTCAGAATTACATCATCATTCTTGAAATATTCATTTCTATTTTTTTACTCAAATTTTCCCTTTTTTTTTTAATTTTTGAAAGAGCTGTTCGCAAAACTGCTTAAATAAAAGAAAATTATTTCTCGCATTATCACCAGTTTTAGATAGGCTTTTAATGAATAAATATTAAGAAGATAAAAATACATGAGTATTATGAGTACTATGATATAGAATTCGTTTGAGTTAAACAAATCATTAAAAAAAATTAAGCTACAGTTCAGGAGGAATCGAAAGATGATGAAACATTTTAAAACAAAATGCACCATTCATTATGAAAAAGGAGATGCTAATAAATGGAATAAATTAAAGCATACACTTTTAAAAAAATATTTTTAACGAGATTGTAAAAAAGAACATGAGATACTGGATACAAAATTTAAACTATAGAAGTTGTCCACTTCTAAAAAAATATTCCCGATTCTATAGATAATTTTCTTCCAATTCATCTAAAAGAGAGAGACGGAGTGGAGGTGGGGGGGGGGGGGGGGGGAGGTAAACCTCGCTGTATAGAGATGAAAAAAAGATAACCTGTAGTTGAGATGCCTTAGTATAACAAATGTATTTACAGTCGGTGAAATTAATGTCATTGTTGTGCAGGATATTCAGTTATGGACCCCCCCCCCCCACTCCCTTGCGCGCGTGAACTTTTAGCTAAGAATCTCACAGGCAATTGAGTCTTTTACATCCTAAAAAAGGAACATCAAATATGAAGTTTTACAAGGATTTCTTTTGAACGTAAATGTACCCCACAAAATAAAACAATTTTTGAAATATATTAATATGTAAATATATTAATATGTATACATGTATAATGTAAGTTTGTATAATTATTTACTTGGACAAATGTATTGTTATAATTACGAAAATAATCTGCTTATAATTTATTATACTCTTAATTGACAAATGAATGGTAGAATAATTCATTTCTTGGTCATTTGATTTAAATGGTCCCCCCCCCCCCCAGAACGGTAGAAATTTATTCACCCCCCCCCCTTTTCCTTGCATTGTAGTAACTTTCGTCGAAGTTTAGAAATAATCGCTTTGAAAAGCATTTATCGCTTTTTAAAAGGCTGTGACGACATCATTGTTTAAATTCCAGCTGAAGTACATACACACATGCAAGTTTTAATTAACTAAATTGTTTTATGGAATCTATTTTAGAAGAATAAAGGTTTTCCAGTTTCCAGCCTTGTGGAACAGGAAAGAGACCTACTTTAAATCAATTAGGATTTATTAAAATGCATATTTAGGACATGCAATTATTTTTTTTTTTACTTCTTATGATGGAAAATAATTATGTCGTTCGCACGACTAATCATCTCGTTCGCATGACTTATTATCTCGTTCGCGCCACATAATTTTCTTCTTTTTTTTTTAATTCTATGCAGACATTTTTATTACCAATCAGCGCAGTACCTTTCTTTAATATGACATTTCATGTTGGAAATGTTTCGTAAATCATGAACAATCAGACTGAACCAATAAAAGAGGGGGTTTTTTTTATTCATGTAACAGCTATGGCAACATTCAAAATATTAACATATCATTTGCAGTATGCATCATGCTTTGGAATGGCTGATACCCTTTTCATGTTATCATTAGTTTTAAAGTCTTCAGTAAAAGTATTAGCTTTGGGGAATATATACATTGTGGGGTGAGGGGTGAGGGGTTTACAGATATTTTCATACTCAAACAACGTTAAGTTTAATCAAGAGAGAGAGGTCTAAATACCCGTGTATAGTTTGTGATTCATTCTAAATAGAGGCTATAGATGTTAACACATGGCATTTGTTTTCCACTTCCTAGTGTTTTCCAAAATGCTCTGGAATACTTTCAGACATAACTGAAGCAGATCAAGCAATGCAAATTTTAAAAAAAGTCAAGGCAGAGGATCTAAGATCCATAATAGATTGTATACTATAAATAAAAACTAATGTGTTTTGTTTAATACCAGGTTTCTGTTAAATATAATATATGTATTTCTAATCAATAAATACTAAATAGAAAATACTTATAAAACATTTAATATTCGAAAAACTACAAAAATATCCCAGAGAAGAAAAGTGGTTGAGGGTAAAACCCTAGACTCTCCATGCTTTTCGATCCGCCAATGCGTTGGTTACTACGCTGTATAATACCCTTTTGTTGGCTTCCAAAATATGAAATAAAATGATTTAATGAGTGAAATAGGCCTAATCTTGCAAGGGACGTAATGTTTCAAACAATCCATCGATCAATCATAACGTTCACGCAAATGAACTCATACCACAGGTTTATCGGCCACAGGTGGTTGTGGACATGAACCCCCACCCCATATACACCCCGGGTCCAAGGATATTTTTATTTGTCTACTTTCATGAATAGTTTATCTAGCACACAGTTACAATGTATTCTATGTGAAAAATCCAAACTAGAGCGTAGAATAAACGTTTTATTAGAAAATAAAATATGTATGATCTTAATAAAACGTTTATTCTACACTATTTTTTTTATTTCTCATATGGAATATAAAAAAGCCGTAAAGGTTCATTTTGACAAGATTAAACAAAATCAACTCGTTATAACGAGATAACTGTTTTGTTATAACTAGTTAGTATCTCGTTATAACAAGGTAATAATCTCGTTATAACGAGTTAGTATCTCGTTATAACGTCAGATAACTATCTCGTTATAACGAAAAAATTAACTCGTTATACCGAAATAATTAATTCGTTATAACGAGATACTAACTCATTATAACGAGATAATTATCTCGTTATAACGAGATAACTATTTCGTTATAACGAGATAACTAACTCGCTTTAACGAGATACCTTCTCGTTATAACGAGATATTAACTCCTTATAACAGATAACTAATTCGTTATAAAGAGAAAATTATCTCATTATAACAAGATAACTAACTCGTTATAACGAGAAACGAACCCGTTATAAGGAGATACTAGCTCGTTATAAAGAGTTTTTTTTTTTTTTTTTTGTTAAATCTTGTCAAAAGTGAGCTTATCCGGCTTTCGTAGGAATACATTATAACTGTCTGGTAGAGAAATAATTTTTGAAAGTAGACAAATAAAAATATTTGGACCCGGGATGTATATTCGGGGTTGGGGGTTGTCCTGAACACAGGCACCTGTTATTCAATCATCTCTTCTACGGAGATATTAATAAAAGACAATTCAGTTGCAGAATTTACATTCTCATGACAATTTTTTACTTTCCCGTCACCATTTGTCCGCAAATAAATCAAAGATGATAAGTTCACAACACATTTTAGATAGATAACTGTAATGCTGGTGTCTTTTCTGCTAAAGAGGAAGACATCTAAAATTATTTATTGTAAAATTAAATTCTAACAAAT